TCGTATTCAAGCACTCGCACAGCTCTGCCTGCTTTTTTAACTGTGCTCCTGAGACAAGTACCGTTTGTCCTTTTCTGTGTCCTCAGTTTGTGGTAGTGTTCTGTGTGTGGCACTGTTCTGTGTGTTTGCTTAAAGCTTGGGCTGTGGGTTTTTCCAGTTTTTCTTTTTTTATTTATTTATCTTCCTCCAAGCTATGTCTCCTGCCCCAACCTGGCCAATTTTTAGATTTTGATTGGATTAATTGAAATGAGCCAAATACTTTATTTTTACTTGTTAGCTGAACAAAAGCTGAAAATGAGATGAGCAAAGGATCTTCTGCCCCAAAGCGTTTCATCAGTTGGGAATGCTAGCTGTAATTTGAGTATACAAATGACATAAAAATCATCAGTTAGTTTCAGTTGTTATGATCATGATGTTACATTAAAAAATTAAAAAAATCCATTTCCTCTTATCTCGATAAAACTGAAGAGCAAAGAACAGAGTGCTGGTTGCCATTTTTTAAAAATATAAAATTAAATAATGTGTATTCCAGCAGCTGCCAAATGGGGCTGTGTGTTCTCCAGCGAGCTGGGACACACAAGTTTCCCAGGCAAACCTTCCTGCTCACCCTCACACCTGGCAGCAGCTCTGGGTGGTGTCATCCCACCAGGAGAGTTTCTGTGAGTCCAACTTGGAATCTGTGGCATAAGTTTAAGCCATCGTTGTGAAAGTCTTAAGATCTGTTATAACTTTTGAACATTTCAAACCTAGCTAAAAAAAATTGATTTTTAATTTGTTTTTAAAAGTATGTTTACCATAGTCATCCAGAGGAACGTCACAGATTTTTATCTAGTTATATAAGTCAGTCATATAAGTAACATAATACATTATTTATCAAATATAGAGTAAGAAATTAAAAACTCTGGGACAGCTTAATGTTTTTGTGGAATTCTATTTGTAAATGAACCTCCTATTGCAGAAAAGGAGCATGGATCCTCTTTGTACTGGAGGATGTGTACATGTTCTGCAAGGACCCTGTGCGCAGGCATGTGGGTGGCTGAGAGGAGAACAGCACTGCCCACTGGAGCAGCCAGACTCTAAACTTGAGATGTATTTCCTGAGAAGTAGAGACAAGAAGTTTTGTTGCCCTATAACATTTTTTTTTCTTATCTAAAAACCTTACGTTTAGGTTTTACTTTTCATGTGTTACCAAAAAAATCACTGATGATGTCTGCTAATCCCACAAAATAATATATTAAAAATCCAGGGGAATGGCAGTCACTTTTGGCTTCATAGATGACAAGAATTTCTTGTAAGATAAGCACTTATTTTATTTGGTTGTTTTAAATAGTGGAGACTTGTGGCAGAAATTCAACATGCAGAATTCATGTTTTCATTCCTATGGCACCATTTCAGTTTGTAGCCTATTTGTTTCTTTTATTTTTACTTGTTTCATTCCTTTGTTTTAAGGAAAGGTGGTAGAGCCCTGAGGACTTTAATTTAAAATGACACCCATATATTTGTAGTCCAGCCAGTAATATAAAAGCTGAACTAAATTTAAGTCTAAAGTTCTGTATGTATTTCTCAGATATTAGCAGCTAGCCATGTATTCTGTGTTTTCTTTAGTGGCATTTCGTATGTGGGTGTGAATACCTCTTTAGTTGCCAAGATAAGTGAATGCTATTATGATGGCAAAATGAAACTTGTGGGGCTGTTTTCCCAGCAGACTCTGTGAAGTACTTGCCTTATTTAAAAACAAAACCCCAGAAACTAGATTTTTTTTTTTTTCTTAAATAACAAATGAGAGCACTGAAATACCCAGTACAGAATGAAACTCGGTGTTTTACCCTCTTTTAAAATGCTTGGGCTCAAGACATTGCATAGGACATAGTATGTTTTTTTCAGCCTCTTGTGAAATATGTGATCACAATAATGTGCATTTTTAGCTTTCTGTAGTTTTGTAGTTTTAGCTTTTGTAGTTTCTACAACAAGAACATTGTTGTAGCTTAGGGGATCTTGGTAAATGTTTGTAGTAACAAGGGAAGGGGGGTAACTGAGAACGATACAACCAGAATACTTCTAGTAAAGCCTAAACTAGTTGGGTTGGATTTTGTGTTTGTTTTTTTTTTTTTAAATTATTGTCTTTCTCTTGATAGGTTGTGAGGGGCACATGTTCAAAAGGGTCAGGGTAGTCTGAACAGAAGTAGGATTAGTTGACTGAATAGATCAGCTTGTGTTTTCCAAGGTGTTTGATCATGACTAAAAAAACCAAACTGCCATGGCATTGCTTCATATTTGTAAAAGACTCTAGAAATAATTCTAAAGGTTACAAATCTTGTCCCAGTTTTCCTTGGTGTCTGCATTGACGTGGTGCACATCCTGAGTCAAGGGAGGGCAAGTGGGAAAGCTGTTGATCAATATAGAGAGTGGAGTTATAATATTTAATTATTAACAGTTTCTGAGCCTACTCTTCCGTTTTATGACACTGGAAATAACAGTAAATGAAACTCGCTGGAAGTCAGATAACTTTTTCAAGTTTCTAGCTTTTTCTAGACTTGGCAAATACCAGCTGCATTGTATCACAGCCTGTGAAGATTACACCAAAGCCTGTACTAAAAGGCAAAAGACTTAAATGCTCTAAAAGGAAAGTGGTGCATATAACTATATATTGAAGTGTGTGTATTTAACAATGTGTGAAGCTGAAAGGGTGAAAATTAGGCTTTCACTAATTCTTCTAGGTGATGATAAGCCATTTAAGCTTTGTTTAAAGCATAAGCTTGGGTTGTAAATCCGGTTTTGCCCTAACAATGAGACAGCCAGGCTGTTTCAGCTTCATTGTTACATTGCCAAGCTAGTTAAAATAGAAGTCTATCTTTTTCATTTTTTTTCATGTCTCCCGAATGAAATGAATATTCAGGTAGCTTATTTGTCTGCAGTACCTGGTAAAAATGTCAGTGCTTTTATGTTGGATAACTAAGCCCAAAGTTATCTTTGCTGAGAAAGCTGGACCTCAAGGTTATTCACTTAGTGCCGAATTATAAAGAAGTGGTTGCTTCTAATTTGCTCTTTTTATTAGGTGCTGTTTGTTTTGAAGGTTTGTTTGTTTGTTTTAGCAAAGCAGCCTGAAGCATTGTGGCAGATCAGCAAAGATTTCTTTTTTTTTCCCAGCTCCATTAACCCCACATGGCTAACATGAGTCTTTCTGGTTCCTTGTGGATAGATTGATTTTGGTAGAACTTGAGAATATAGACTGTATGGATCTTCATATTTCAAAAATGGTATGATATATTGGGTTTGATTAAAATCTACCTGCTTGCAAAGATTATGCTGACAATCACTTAATGTACCAAAATAATAAGGAAAATAGTTGGGCAATGTCATCATAAACTATAGGAGAGTCATGATTTGCAACTTCTTCGCTGTTGAAATCTGACAGCATCTTCTAGTAACCGAGAACACGTAACAGATTTGAATGTGATTGGCTTAAAAAAAAAATAAAAAAAGGCAAAAAATAGAGCCTGTTGACTGGAATATAACCCTTTATTTTCTGTTGTTAGCTCACCTGGAGTCCTGATCTCAGACCAGGACCCACTTGTGTGAGACACATAACAGATTTCCAGCCTGTGAGTAACACAAGACAATAGATAGAGACAGATGACCAAGAACAGGAAAGAATATTGGTCAGAATTGCTTACATCAGTAGGCAAAGATATAAATACTTGTAAGTGTTCTTCCTCTAGGCCTCAATGCAAGAAAACTTTGAGGCAGATGAAGCAGTCTTGTCTAGAGCTTACGGCCAACTCCCTTAACACATGATGAGTGCAGTTTGGGGAGGATTGGAAGCAGGAAAATGTTATTTGTTCAAACTATTGGAAGGACTCTGGATTCATAGGCTAATGAACGGACCAGCATTTTGGTACTGAAATGAGACTATTATGTTGTCAGGACTTTGAAAGTGAAGATGAAGTTGATTTGTTCTGATGTGGGATAGAAGTAGAAGACAGTGTGGGGGAACAAACCGGGGAAGGTACTTTTTTCAAGTCCGTCAGCTGAATTCTCATATCAATCTCAAATTATGAAACAGAAGGTTTCAGTGTGTATAGTTTAAAGTCAATAAAAGCCATTTTATTGTCTACTTTGGGTGATGTGTGTTGTCTTTGTGTCTGTCTGTGTATGTTGCGAGCTAGTTTTGCTCAGTTACAGTTGCTTGAGTTTAATTAGAACAGGTAATGGGTAAGGTCAAGGGACTGAGATGACCCTTTGACTGTATCTGCACATTAAATCACCTCCACTGTGTCATGAAGCTGCAATTTAAATTTTTACTACCACAGAAAACCAAAATGGCTTTTGGTGTGGTCTGTTGCTATATTGAGAACTGAGAACATAAAAAATGTCCAGATAATTGTGATTCTAAAGGGTGGCAAAAATGTGGGTGGTTCTAGGGAATCTAGGTCCTAGTTGCTTCCTGTATCTGGATCTGATGATCACTTGGACTTTGAACTGGCAGTTAGGACACATAACCAACTTACCAGAAAAGATGTTCTGTACCACTAAAAGCTGGGTGACTCTCTGTGTTCCTTAGTTAGGACTTTGTTTTTGGTTGTGCCATTTAAAGACGGTGTGTTTCAACCAGTGCCTGAGATCCTTCTAAAGATTTTATAGCCGCTAAATAGTTTAGTATGGTAGGTTCTAAAAACCACTTCTGTCTAACCTGCTTAGTCCTTCATGATTCTTTGGAAGAAGAATGATTGAGTCTGAAAATTATTTCCTAATTGTTAAGGCTTAGGTGTCCCATGCTAACTGCTGCTTTAAGTTTGGTTAACTCCTAAGTGAAAAAGGGCATTTGCTTTTTTTGCATGCTCTCCCATGAACCACACTAACGTGGTCTTCATGCTTTCTTGTTCAGAACAAGAAACTGCTGATTTGACAAGGAGAATTCCTCAAATGTGATGTTTAGACTTGTGACTGAGTTTCAAACTGTTGAAAACTTTATGGTCTAATAATATTTTCTTTATTTTCAGATTAACTGCTGAAGTACTGATCGAGTTCTGCTATTCTTCAATGAGGAACTACAGGCTGATCTTTTGCCATAATCTTAAACAACCATAAATGACAAAAGAATGCTTGGTCAGTGAGGGCAGCTGGCGCAGAAAACGTTTTTCAAACTCGGCTGTTTAAGTACTCTGAGGTAGGTTTCTTAAACTACTTTACTTGGACTGGGAAAAAAAAAAAAGGAAGTATGGATTTCAGTATCTCTAATCTATTTGAATTCATCAATCCATTAGTAACCAGCAAATTATCTGTGGTCGCAGTGCTTTGACTAACAGTATGTAGCTCATGTTCTGTGTGCCATCCTCTATGAAAGTGATTGCTTGCATTTAAGCAAGGATATTTTCTTTTTTATTATTATTATTTATTTTGAAAAGACTTTTTTTTTTTCTTTGCTAGAATAAATATTTTGGTTTTGACAGGATAACAGTTTAATTAAGTGACTTACCCTGACTTTGGTAATCTAGATCCTGTATCAAGCAAAGACTTGCAAGTAAAGCTTGAGCTTCCGCATGATAGGAAGAATGGTATCACTGAGCATCTAGAAACCAGTTTTGGGGGTTTGGGGTTCTGTAAATTTTTAATTTGATGCAGGTGTTGAAAGCTTTATTGCGTAGACCAGAAAATGCCAAATATGTCAGAAGTTGATTGCAGTGCAGTTGTATATTGCAAAATACTTCATAATTTCATGCAGCTAAAACCTGGGGGTTTGGTTTGATATGATCCACTAGTTTCATTTCCTCTGGAGAGGCTTTTGTGTTGGATTTTCAAAGTCTGGCTGATAAATGCTGTGGGAAAATGTACTGAAGAATCTTGCTCTCCCAAAGTACCTTAGAACTTCTGTAACAATGTTGTAACTAGAATTTTATGACTTTTTTGCTGTATGTGTTCTTATTGGACTCTATTGAGGATTGAACAGAACACCTTGGTAACAGTCATTATAGCTGGTTTTGGCATTATTACAGAACTTTTCATTAAATCAGTGAACTGATTGAGACAGACTGGAGAGTATTTGCATTAGGTAATTAATGTATGTTGTGTTACAGATTGATACGTTCAACAGTGTACACTGAAGTATGGTTTTTGGTTTTAATTCCTCTTATTTGACAGAACAGACAGCTTTGATTTTTGGCTGCAAAAAGATATGAGGAAGAGCTCCTCCCCTTCCTTGAGTAACTGCAACTCTGTTCTTGCTAACAAAATATTTGGAATTCCACTTGATGAGCTGCAGCAAGAAGGGCAACCAGACAATGAGGTTCCATTCATAGTCCGCCATGTTGTGGACTATATTGAGGAACATGGTATGTATTATCTTGCTGTATTTTAAATAATATATTTAGCTGTTATTCTTACAGAATAGATTGTGGGTTTTGAAGAGCATTTGTTTTCTGAAGTACTTACATTTAATTGGTTGTGATTTGGGTTGGTCTTTGTTTTTTTTCTTCAGTGAGACACACTTCCTTTCTTTACTGCTCCTGTTATGTTTATCACTGTTTTCTAGCCAACACTAATGCAGTCAGCTCAGCAGGGTATTTCATAGGAAATTGTGTGATTTAGGTACTGCTAACATTTACCTTATGCCCAGCTAATGATACAGTAATAAGAATGTGTTTGCTGGGAAAAGGACTGCTGGAAGTCTTGCAAAGCTGTTGTGCAGAGAGGCATTCAGTATGTGAATTATGCATATCTAATTATCAGTATTTTCTGATATGGCCATGCTAGAGCGAAAAGTTTATTTCTGCAACTTTCTTCTAACTCAGGGGGTCTGGAACAAGAAGGACTTTTTCAAGTCAATGGGAACGCTGAGACAGTGGAGTGGCTTCGGCAACGATACGATAATGGAGAAGATGTGGACCTGGTTAAAGAAGCAGATGTACCCTCAGCTATTAGCCTTCTTAGATTTTTTCTTCAGGAACTTCCAGAGCCAGTTATCCCAGGCAGTTTGCACATACATTTGATGCAACTTTCTCAAGGTAATAATTATTTTTGATTCACTGTCTCAATTTTATTATTTTAAGAGTAAGAAACGGCATTAAATTGAGATTTGTAGTGGCACTAGGGTTCCTCTGGTGTTTTGTGTAATAATGTGTGCATCAGGAAGAACTCAGATATATCTTCCTTAGCTCAAACCCCAGATAAATAATTTTATTATTTTAAGAGTAAGAAACAGCATTAAATTGAGCACTAGGGTTCCTCTGGTGTTTTGTGTAATAATGTGTGCATCAGGAAGAATTCAGATATATCTTCCTTAGCTCAAACCCCTGATAAATAGGTCTTTTTTTAGGAAACTCAGTCTGGATTGAAAGACACAGTTTATCCAGCATGCAGGAAAATAGTGAGGGTGCTACGTATGCTGATTAGTTCTGAATATTCCATGTTCTTGTGTGTGATACTGGGACACTGGTCAAAGCCACTGGAATCAAAGTTGTTTGACAGTTTCCAACCACTGATGCTGTAAAAGTACTAGGGGATGCTTTTGGTTTATTTCCTCTGAATTTCACTTACTCTGCCTATGTTTCCATGGCACTTAGAGCTTTTGTGTACTAGAGTGCTCAAGCCCTGTACTTACGTCGTATTTGCTTTCCCACTGTGGATTTTTTTCAGTTTAAAAAAGTACTAGGGGATGCTTTTGGTTTATTTCCTCTGAATTTCACTTACTCTGCCTATGTTTCTATGGCACTTAAAGCTTTTGTGTACTAGAGTTCTCAAGCCCTGTACTTATGTCATATTTGTTTTCCCACTGTGGATTTTTTTCAGTTTAAAATTCATTTGCAGGAGGACAAAACCCCCTGTCATCAGCATATTGTGGCTAAGTACGTTTTGTCATATACTGCAAAACCTTGCCCTTTCAAATTAACACCCATATGTTGGCACAGTAATTTCTTTACTGATTCCCAACTTGCCGATGTGTGTCTTCTCTCCTGGGGCTTTTTGCCTCTGCTGTGTTCAGTGGTGTTGGAGTTGATTCATAACTTGACTAAAAATGCTTCTCTTGCAGCACTACAGTAGTAATGTCCTTGAAGGGTTAGTTGGTGTCTAAGTTCTGCACCCTGTGACAAAGCTAACAGTTCTGCTGGTTGTCGCTCTGTGGGAGTGTTACTCATTTTCCAGTGTCAGTTTGTACTTTTATTCAAGTGCTGGGCTTGTTTTGCTTTGTAAGAGGCACGTTTTTTGTTTGATTTTATTTTCTGTTGTTGAGTTTATTCCTGATAAGAACTTGATAATGCTCGTTGCAGTCCTGTTTGTTTGGAGAGGGAATCGGTTTGTAGGACGAGTGAGTAGAGAGCACAGATTTCAGATGCTGTTACACTAAATTTACTGAGCTCTGAACTGGAGGGTCATCTGCAGCAGCATGAAGCTGCTTCATTTTCCTTCCTTGTAGCCTGTGTATCCTGAAACTTTGAACATGGGGTGGGTATCTGAGCACTGATGTGTGAGGCACTAAATAGGAAATAGTGTGCTGGAAACAATATTTGGAATCTACTGACCAGAGAAACTTGTTATAAGGCTGAAGGTTTGTTTGTTTGTCCTGTGCAGTAATGAGAAACTGAAGTGGATGTGGAATTTCATTAGTGATATGTCTGCTGTTTGGTTTCCATTGCTAATGTCATGGTTCATTGGACCTAAGTAGGTGGTAAACTATTGTTTGCTTGTTTGTTTTTTTTTTTCCTTATGAAAAAGATAATAAATAACAAAAGGATTGTGAAGACAGTAATGCAAATGCTGCAGTTTGCTCAGCTAATACTGCTGTGCACCATGATTTGCAATGTTATTTATCAGGACTGGAAATGCAACTCAGATTCAGTGCAATTCCCTTCTACAACTTGTACAATTCAGTGTGAAGTTGGGGATTTTCCATCTTTGAACAGATAACTGTGGAAGGATTTACATGTGGGTTGTTTTGGGGAAAGAGCTGCTCTTCGGCATCTAAGTCTCCATTTAGTTCCCTTTTGTTAAATATGCAGAGAAACTTCACTTAAACTTGCAGCTTATTGTCCTTACTGTCTTTTAAAGTGTAAAATATCTTTAAATCTTTCTGAACTCACTTTATCTGTACCAAGGAAATCGAACCACATAAACTTTTAAATAATGTTTCCTGATACTAAAATTAGAGTTTCGGTTTCCGCTACTCGGGTTTTGACTTTCGGTATTTTGACTGTGGCCTAGACATATCTATGCTGGTTTCCAGAATTACAATATCAACTGCATTTTAGGGAGAGGAATTGCTTACAGAAATGCAGAAGGTGGTAATAATTTTGGATCCATGTTACTTCTGCTATTTCCCTCTTCAGCAGACCTTCTGTATCGTTAGGTTAAGCTTAGTTCTCAAAACAACTTTAGGTCACACCTTGTTGTATAACTATAGTCATCTTTTGAGGCTCATTCTGTGCAAGCCTAGTAATCCTAAAGTGTGAATTGGACCCCAATGCACTAATAATTCATGTGTCTCAGAAGTTTGTATCCATGGTTTAGTGTCAGAGGACTTCAGTTACAGATAAGAATGTCCTCACTTCAGGTTTCTGGTTGTTGTTTAGATCCTAAATTTTAGGACAGATTGGTTAGACAAAACATTTAGATGTGTGTGTGTGCAGTGGTCTGACCATCACCTCTCTCTCCTGCTTTCTTTCTTTTTGAAGGCCTACTTTGTGACAGTATTTTTTTTAGGTTCTATTTTGCTGTTCTCTTTCCTATGTGCCTTTCCAGAACAAAAACTAACAATAATATATTATTTTTACTGGGTATTTTTTTAGGTTCTGTTTTGCTGTTCTCTTTCCTATATGCCTTTCCAGAGTAAAAACTAACAATAATATATTATTTTTACTGTGTTGCTATGTTGAGTGGTTATCAGTGTTCAAATCAGTGTTGACTGAGCAAATGAAGTCCTGCACAGTTAATGAAAACTATTTTTCTATGGCTGGTTATCAGTGTTCAAATCCTGTAGGTGTTCACTGAGCAAATGAAGTCCTGCACAGTTAATGTTTGGTGTTACTGTACATATTCAACAGGGAATTTACTCGCTTCTTTGATTTGGTATTAAGGACCAGGATGTCTTAGCTCCTCTCATCTTAGAGAGGCTGATGCTCATCATCTTCAAACATCCTTTTCCTTTTCTAACTAATCTCAGAAGAGTTTTCAAATGTCTGAGAAAGAAGGGGAGGTCTGTTAGTATACTTTTTTTTTCCTCCCATTTTCCTTTCCTGACTTTTTTTTTATATGGAATTTCTGTATTAGATACTGACAATTATAAACTATTTGAACCTTGTTGCCTGTAAGGCTGATAACATAGCAAATAAGATTTGTGGGGAGACAAAGGATATATGTAGGGTGAGAAAAAGGAAGTTTGATGGTGATCCTTCTTTGGGTCTGGAATTGAATCGGCAGGCTTCAAGCTACGTATGTGTTAGGATGATTGCATTGAGGTTGCTCGTATTCATTAGTTAAGTATTACAAAAGGGAGTAGAGAAGGGGATGCTTGTAGAGGAGAAAGTGACAAAGTGATTAGCTCATCTGAAATGCAGAAAGTTTTAACTAGCTTTTAAGTTGGCTCGCTATCTCTTGAGCTGTTGCTATCTCGAGCTCTTCTGCAAAGCAATTGTTATATTAAAGTGGTAAGTGAAAGGGTATGGAGGAGCTATCCCTATGTAATCAGAACCCTGAGTGAGCATTAATTGGGGAAAACATGCTGAAAACTACTGATTGGGCTTGCAGAGGAAAATATGGTGGAACTCATTGGTTTAGGTTATCAATTTCTGCTTCATAGAAGAAATTAAATTTAATTTATCATTAGGGAAAGTAACCTGACGGTACTCTGCTATGGAGTTGACTGGGGAGGGGTTTTTTTTCTGCTATGTTCCTCCACCTCTACACCACCCCTCCAAACCTCTGACATCATTGAAGAAAAGTGACAGAACAGGAAATGAGTTATTGGCTTCTCTTGGAAAGATCAGAGAGGAAGAGACTAATCCAGAAACTGAAATGAGAGGATGAGAAGCGGGGACAGATGGATTGTTACGAAGTACTACCACTATAAATGGTCTTCAGATACATGGGCTGGATACTTCGGGTTTGGGGGTGGTGAGTGTCCTTTTTCCATAGAGAAATTTAGTATGAAAATCTTAGACCAAACAAGTGCAGGTCAAATTCTGACATTTTTGGCTGTGGTTGTACTTCAGAGGTAAGTAATTGTTGTCAAAGTCAAAAAGTTGATCAATACCAAATGTGAAAAAACGGATATTTTACTTTTTGTGATTAAAATATTTTTGTTATCTTTTTCAGATTATAATAATGAAGATGAATTTGGAAGAAAGTTGAGGTTCCTCTTGCAGCAGCTTCCACCTGTTAATTACAGTTTGTTAAAGTTTCTGTGTAAATTTTTAGCTAATGTAGCATCACATCATGAAGAAATTTGGTCAGCAAGTTCTTTAGCTGCAGTCTTTGGCCCGGATGTTTTTCAGTAAGTTGGTTATAAAAGTTCATACAGTGTTTTTATGTGAATTTGATGGTGTAGATCTGAAGTCTATAAAGTCTTTCCTAGTCCATGAGTAACAGCAGTAAGTACACCATACATTTTGGGCAATATCTTTCTTTTCTGTTCCTTCCACCCCCTCACCCCAGTTTTGTCTTACAATTTTTGCTTGGATTTAAACAACAGCTTGTCTATGAGTTGTGGTGTTAGAAACCACTGATTTGATATTGCATTACTGTAATTATACTGAGGTTCACATTTTTTAGAGATAGTGTATAAGACTATTTGCAGCAAGAAAGCAGTGCTGGGAGATGGCTGTTAAAGTACAACGCGTACTGGGGTTTTCTCTCTACAGGGAAACACTTGAATTATAAACATTCCTCATGATGACTTAATTGACTGAATAGTTTTTACTTCCTCACTTTTAAATATAAACTAGTAGAACCATTTATAATGCAGGAATGTGAAGGAAGGCTTAAAGGTCTGTGTTCAGAGTGGATTGGGAATAATGGTGTGAAGTCACAGAAGCCATTCACAGGAGTTCTTTGGGAAAACAGTTGGATTTAGACTTTTAAACTAAAACAGTGTTGAATTCTTCAGCATTTACACAGATGTGGAGGATCTGAAAGAACAAGAAATAGTTAGCAGAATAATGGCGGGACTTCTGGAGAACTACTATGAATTCTTTGAAAATGAAGAGGAAGATTTTTCATCTACTAATGATTTAAGCTCAATCACTGAGCAGGTAAGAATATTTTAAACGGCTGTATGTTATCCCTTAAGTAACTGTTATACATATTTATCTATGTGAAAGATAAGTTTCTTTAGTATGCTTTTCAGTAGTTTCTTGCAAAATGATAAAACCTGATATTTCCTTAAATGCATTTTCTTAACATAGATATGCTTGTAAAATTGTTGCTGTTTAGTAAGTATAGCTATGCTATATAGAAGAACACATAAGAGCTAAACCAACAATGATATCCTGCCCAACATAGATGCTGTTATGCTATATAAACAGGATAGCTTTTTAATTCCCTTTTTAGGAAAGGAGAACTGGTTTTTAAGTGAACGCAGAACCAAGCTGTTGTTGGTCTTGGTCAATAGTATTTCTAGGTGTGTCTTACAGAAACATGCAGGGTCTCGCGCTCCACTGATGATGATATCAGTGGTGGTTCCCTATGCCAAAATTTTTGAGTGGTGTTTCTGATTCTAAAACTTCAAAATATCATCTTGACGTTAGTGGGGAAAAGTGTTGAAATAAGAGAAAGAAAGTTGAGTAGAATAGAAAAGCTCTGGGTCCTAGCATTCAACTGTCAGGGTTGCCACATCCACCCATCCATGGTATCGATTATCAATCACTCTTATGCCTTTCCTCACGACACATTTTTGGCTTAACAAATGTTGTTTTTTCTTTAAAGAGGAAAAAGGGTAAATAATCAGCAGTTGCTAAGGAAGGTAACAAGAAGTATTGAATTTTTAAAGCCTAACTATCCCACGAACCCCTCTGGCGAGACAAGTAAGGCAAGTACTAGGGCAGCTGATTGCTTCCTCTTCACTGCAGCAGACACCTCACCCATGGGGCTGGTCTGCCAAGCGTGGGCTGCAAGTTCTGGATTGAGCAGCTTCTGCTCTGCTGGCTCTTCCAGCAGAGCGCTGCAGCTTTGCAATGTTTGCTGTCTCTTGAGCTCTTTGCAGGAATATGTCTAGCACAGAGAACTGACACAGCCCTGCTGCATGCAGGAGGCTGTTAAATAAAGCTGGGCTGAAACTTTTGCAACCCGAGGCTGAGGACTGTCAGCTTAGGTTGGGATGGCTGCTCTTTAAAGTACAGTTAATTGATCTATACTATTGTGCTTTAAAATTAATGACTTGTCTGTGGGTCATGATGTGTTGTAGCAAAAGGTTTTCCCAAGCGTAACAGTCAGGGTGGTGTGTTTTGGTTTTGTTTTGGTTTTTTTTCACCCCTAAATTTGAGGTCTGTTATGTTTTAGCAAAAGGTTTTCCCAAGTGTAACAGTCAGGATGGTGTGTTTTGGTTTTGTTTTGGGTTTTTTTTTCACCCCTAAATTTGAGGTCTGTTGGGATGTCCCTTTAATTTCGTGGTGTCTCCACCAGATGTCAACAGTGCACTTCTGTTGGGTCCTGCTTCCTTGCTGGCTGATCCAGGGGTAGTACAGAAGAGCCACTGTCCCCACTGGGCACGGCCCCACTGGCAGCCAACTGTGCGTGGGTGGGCTTGCCCTTGCTTCACTGGCACATCCTCTTGCAATTACAGAGGGAAAATGTACCTTTTTAATGATGTGGAATGTAGGATTTTAGGTGAAAGCAAGCCTAGTGTGACTTTTTTTTCTAAAATTGAAAAATACTCTCCTCTTACGCATGTTTTTATACCTCTCCTGCTCTTTTAGAATCATAGAATAGTTTGGGTCAGAAGGAACCTGTAAAGGTCATCTAGTCCAACCCCCCTGCAATGAGCAGGGACATCTTCAACTAGATCAGGTTGCTCAGAGCCCTGTCCAATCTAACCTTGAATATTTCCAGGGATGGGGCATCTACTGCCTCTTTGGGCAACCTTGGCCAGTGTTTCACCACTCTTTGTGAAAAATTTCTTCCTTTTATTTAGTCTAAATCTGCCCTCTCTTAGTTTAAAGCCATTACCCCTTGTCCTGTCACAAAAAGTTTGTCTCCATCTTTCTTATAAGCCCCCTTTAAGTACTGAAAGGCTGCAGTAAGGTCTCCTCAGAGCCTTCTCTTCTTCAGGTTGAACAACCCCAACTTTCTCAGCCTTTCCTCAGAGCAGAGGGGCTCCAGCCCTCGGAGTATCTTTGTGGCCTCCTCTGGACCTACTCCAACAGTTCCATGGCTTTCCTGCTCTGAGGGCTTCAGAGCTGGATGCAGTACTCCAGGTGGGGTCACCTGGACCTCTTAAAAGAACTTTTCAAGCCACTAACTGTGATTCAATCTTTTTTAGATCAATGATCTCTTGGAAGAGGAGGAAGATGTAAAGCTTGAGCAGTCTGAAGAACTTCCAGAAGATGGCACAGAGAAACCTGATGAAAGGCCAGCTGTGGTGCATCTAGATATGACAGGGAGTCTCTCGGATTCCAGGAGCGTTACAGCATCAACAAGGTAACTTGTTTCTGCCTTGGAGGTTGGATTTAAAGTTTGGAGTATTGTCTGCTCTGTCAGAGAGAGAGAAACTGTCAGGTTTTTAAGGTAAGTGGTGGTGTCTACAAACTGAAGCTTTAGAAGCAAGTGCAGTTCTTGTAGGAAAATATGGGATAAAATAACTATTCCCAAAATCAGAAGAGGAATGCCTGCAGATTGGATTAACTATGGTGATTTGTGCAGAGAAAGGGAAGAAAGGCATATTTTAGTGAAACCATAAAGTGGTATTTCAACAGTAAATTTTGTAGCAGAAATATTAAAAAGTATTTGAATATTGGTAGATGCAAATCTATTCTGTGCCATCTTTCCACCACTCCCTTTCAGTGGGAAATCTTAGGACTATTTCTTGTCACATGCTAGCGAGCAGAGATGTGTCCTTACATGACCCTAATTCGTTCCTAAACCTGTGAGAATGTGTTTGTCCAGGGATTTTTATGCGCAGTTTTGTCAGGTGTTAAATGAGGAAGGTAGTTTCTTATTTCCCTTGAGTACAGTGCAATATACTTCATAAACAAGTAATGAAGACTCTAGGTGTGATTACTTCCTGACAACGCTAGAGAGAGAAAACACCAGGCATAAAGAGGAACTATATATGACCAAAAGGATACTGGAGAGTAAGTGGGATGATAGTGACCATTAATGATTTTTAGGTTGGAATGTAGATATTCTAGAAAAGCCTTTAGTAGGAGCAACGTGGAGGAAATTTTGAGCAGTTTCAAGATGACATTTTGGAAGGTTATATGTGAGACTTCATAGAATGGGTTGCTTGTAATACAGAGGTTTATGTTTTACTTGCTTGTAGCATACAAGTTTTAATTTTTAAGGCTGCTTTACTTGTATTATAGTTTACATAGCTCTACAGGATGTGTTAGGTGTGGGCACTGCATGTAAGAACTTGTGAGGAGAGATGAGGAAGAATCTATAATAAAAGTGTGACTAAAAGCAGTAGAAATGCCAGGGAAATTCAGGGTAAGTTTAGTGCTTAAGACTCGCTGTCTCAAGAATGTGGATTTCAGGCTGAAATCTGTTCAGCAGCTTGGCTGCACATTTCCTTCTACCTCGTTGCAGGAATTTGTAAAATATCAAATAATGAGAGAAACATAATTCTGCTTTGTAATTTAACTTAAAATTGTTAATTATCCTTTTCAGCAATATAGCTACTTAATTTTAGTTTGACTTAAATGAAAAGAAATAGTTGCTGCAATTGGAATACCTATAAAAGTGCTGCTTCTTCCAATTAAAGCTTTAAAGCAATTTAACTATTCACAGGTATTTAGTTGCTTGTGGAATGTGTAAGTGCAGCAGTAGTGACAGACTCAACATGTCTGAGAGTTTAAATTTGATAGCCTGAAGAGAAAAACATTTTTTACTGGATGTTTAGGGTTAATTAAAAATTAATAGGCGTTAATTATGGTCGGCATTTTACATAATTTGTGGGGAGGAATCCTGTAGAAGAAGGAAGAATTTTGACTGTAAAACCAGAACAACTGCAGGAAATGTAAAAAAAAACAACAAACCAAAACAAAAAAATACCCAGAGAAAAAGTAGGTTTTATTAAACTTTTAACCACTATAAATACTGTAAATATTCTTCCAAACCTAAAGGCTTTCATAGTATGCATTTAATAGCCTTTTTTTGTTGTAGTATGCATTTAATAGCCTTTTTTTGTTGTTGTTTCTTGACGAAAAAAAAAAAAAATCTTAAAAAAACAACGTTAATGCAAGTTTGTTGGGATGTCTGTCTTGACATGCAGCGGCTGAAAAAGGAGAGAGGAGAAGTAGAACTTAAGCATGATTCTTGCAGTTCCTTAACCTGTAGTTTTGTTGCCTCTTGGCTGTTGTCAGATTTTTGGGAACTGAGTATCTGTATATTTTTGGTCTCTGGAGAGAAGGAAAAGAATGCTGAGATTGCATGTTCTGCATGCTGAAGATTGGTCTTGGTTCATTCAATGGGGTGTGTGACCTTCCTTCTAGTTATTTGGACTGTAACTTGCTCATGATTTTGCTCACTGCCTTTTTTTTTTTTTTACTCTTTCTGTTTGTTCTTTCTGAAACACATGACCTTCAGGCACTGCGTGGTGTTAATTTGACTTTGAGCGTGAGGGAGATCCGGTGAGAATGCGGATAATCATTAATGCAGTTTGATTTACTGACTGCTGCAAAACGGTATTTAAAATAAACCTGTTGAGTGATCTTTAAGCCCATTACCGAAACAGGGAGCATTTGTTGCACACGAGTTGACATTGTGTATGGAAAGGAAACATCATAGTCTCTGTTACCAGAAGCCTTTTCACCAGGGCTCTTCCAGTTTTGCTGTCCTGACTTTTGGAGAAAGGAATTACTGACTCAGCATTGCAGCTGACTTTTAAGATGTTCTGTTGAAATAATCACTTTAGAATCCTTCTCTGTCATTATTCCAAATTTTTCATCACTGCGCTTTGCCAAGCAGTATTTGCTTTACTTTTTGCATTTCATCTCAAATATTGTCAGTCCAAAGCCTAATACAAAAACTCTTGATATGTTCTTCGGGCTTTTCAAAATTATGTGTATAAAAATATGAGCTGTGGCAAGTAGTGAGTTCTGTAAACAGAACTTTGTCTATATTTAATGCAATGACAAGGGTGAGCACCTCACTGCTTGTGTGATATTTTTTTAACCTTCTTTTGATCGGTGAGAGACAGGCAATAATATTAACACCAACAAAGAGAGACAAAATGTGTATATAATAAGGCTAATTGCTAGAATGGCCTAAATTTTTGCTAGAAAATATGTTATTCTTTTAGTTTAGGGCTCTCTCTAACATCCAGCTGCCTTTTGACAGATTTTCTAGGATGGAAGTAGGGACGGCACGTTAGGAGAGCTTTCAAGTGTTGATTGGGCAGCTTATTGTCAGGAGTGACCTCATGTTGCAGTCTATTTCTATTTAGACTGCAGGGTTTAGCGCAGCCCTCCAGAAGCGCTGCCTGTCGAGCAGGCGCTGCGTCCCAGCCAGCAGCATGTACAGCCACCAGCCCGCGCCGCGCTTCCCTGCTTCCCAAATGAAGCAGCTTTACGTCAAGTGCTCGTTTGGGATAGCAAAAATAATCAGAATGGCCTGTAAAGTTCTGCTGCACAGGTAAATATCTGAAAGGGAAAACGTTGCTTTGATATGCTTGCAAATAAGACTTTTTTTTATTTTTAAATTTAAAATTATGTGAGGTTAAATGTATTTTGGAGATAGTTGTGACATTATTTCGTTTCACAATTATTTTTTTTTAATAGGAAATAAGAATCTATGTACAGTCAGTAGATTACCAAGAAAAACTTTGAAATGTTTTCTCTCTAGTTAATGTATGTCTCTATCTTAAGGTACATTTTCACCAGGACTTTTTATGGGTCGGGAGACAGTGCAGACGGGATTCTCAGCAGGGGGAGGAGAGGGGGGACGACTGAGCGTAGCATTATGAAACAAAGATGTTTACCTTTCTGTGTCTTGCTGTGTCATGCTGCATTTAAGACTGTGTAGCAGCATAAATTACAGCTTTTAAAAAATATCCTTGAACTGTGGTACCTCGGGTCGGAAGTTGTACTGCATTTTCAGCTAAGAGCGATTGACACATTTCTTTCAAAAAGTGCTTAATTGCTAAAGTGATTAGTTGAAGACGTAAGATATTCTTTACGTAGTAAGAGGATTTTTCAGGCTTTGCAATACTGCTGATTTATGCACATCTTTTGCTGAGTGCCTCTAATGCATCTAAAGGTGTTTAGTAAAAGCACTGGTGAACGATCCTACGGTGGGGGCTGAAGGTTACGCAGTAAGATGGAAAATTTTGTTGTGAACCCTGTCTGAAATCTTTTGGATTCTTTGGAGATGAGTTTGATTCTTCCCACTTCTGACACAGTTCCTCATTGTCTCAAGTGGTGGAATAAAAAGGATTCCAGGTCATCAGTTTCCTATAAATAGTATTTGTACTTGTGCCCTTGACTGAATTTTTTGCTCTCTTTTACAACTAGAGTGTTGCAGTGTCCTGTGTTCCGATTCCCTTCTTCCCCTCTCCCCCCCCCCCCCCCCACTTTCTGGGAGTGACTGTTTTATAACAGTAAATAGCTTTCAATCTGTAAAACTATGTATTGGTACTCTTAGAAAGTCAGCATACCTGTTATAATGCAGCTCTTATAGAACTTACTGAAAATACTGAGATTGGATACTTAAACCAGCATTTTTTTGTGTTTTGAAATCTTACTGTTCTTTCCTCTGAGATTCTTGCTCATGCTCCTTCTCTTATTTTATTCATGGGGCTGAATTTACAGCTTCATATCTTAATTTTTTTATTTCAAGTATTGTCCAAATAAAATCTGTTTGTCAGAAAGCTTAAACACTTTCTACAAGTATTATGGCAATGCTGAACTGTGCACAGAAATATCAATGAAATGTAAATTGAATCTTAAGTTATAAACTTTTTACCATTTCTGTGTTTGAAAGAAAAAACTGAAATGTCAATGCGTTCACCCTCAGTTGTTTGATCCAGAAGCTTTGAAATTAGTGGCTACAGGATCTGGCTTTGGCATCAGGTGTTTTAATTTTCCAAAGCTATGTGGCAGTGTCTATTTTGAAATAGCAGTTTAGAGCTGCCCGTTCTGTCGAAACATTTGGAATGGATCTGCCTTGTTTTTTCACCACCTGGGCAAACAAACACACAAATCATAAAGCATGCTTGATTCCAAGTCAAGTTTTCATTAAGAAAAAAAAATAATTAAAAACTTCTGTGAACACCTGCTTGTTCAGTTGTTCCATAGTGGTGTTTAAATACAGTACACTTTGCTATTGACCCAGTACAAGTTGTCCAAGGCAAAAGGGTATAATTATTTTTAAATAAATACTTTAACTACTTTCCTTATCACCTGGTTTAATTGAAAGTCCTTTATTGCTTGTATTTCGTACACTTAGAGGACGAAAAAACAGAAAGTCTGCTTGAGGTGGTCTAATTATCTTGCCTCTCTGGTGGTGGAGCTACTCATAAACTTGATAAGATCTAACCAAGATATTCCTTGCTGTATTAAAACTATTCTTGAGTAAGCAAGAGAGACAGTATACAGACTAATATCAGTCAAAGCTTTCTTCCAGAGGTAGTACTTGTTCAGTTCCACAGTAGAGGGGCAACCTCCCTTGTATTTCAAGGTTTACTTTATGCATTCATGAAAATAATATTTAAAATAAACTTTGGCTGCCGACAGTATTGTTGAATGGTAAAGAATAGACTAAAATTTTATTTTTCAGCTATTTATTAGTTATATATATATAATACAAAGAAAAAGCATTTGTTTACCTCCCTCCTCACCTCCTAGTTGAAGTGAAGTTAGTATTTATTATTTTCTAATAAGATTGACTTTACAGTAGCATTTTCTTCTTTTATTTCATTCTTAGTCATTTGTCTAAAATTTACTGTTAATAATGTCTGAATTTTGATCATATTAATGGAAAATTGAAGAGGGAGGGCATACACATGACTGAACTTCCTTGAAATCACTTGAGTTAGTTGCACTGATTTCCACCCTTTGTCCCCCGCCATGGAGTATAATGTTCTAGGCTGAAGTGTCTTGTGTGAGGAGATTTCTGAATGCTTTACAAATGGCAAACTCCTGTCTCCAAACTTCTGGAAGGCACCTGCCTTTCTCTTGAAGTGAAACTGTCCTTGGAGAGTTCTGCAGATCTGTTGAACTTGGTTGCAAAATAAAATTATGCAACAGTCTGACAGGCCGGGAAGAACCTCTACGAATTGCAACTGTGGAGGAAAGCAGAGTAATTTGGAATTTGCTTTAGGCAGCAAGGTTAAAATCTGCATTCTTAAGCAAGGTGTCAGGAAATCTTTGGAGACTAAGTGATTAGTATTTCCCATGGGAATGACAGAACATCTGAGAGCTTACAGCTTCCTAATGTATTGGGTGCTGGCTCTTGAGAGACAGAAATCTGCATTGCTGCTTCTACAGCTTTCTGTCTTGTGATGGTGTTTATTCAGATTTCTTCATCTAAATAATAAAGGGACTGCAAAACAGTGTTTTCTTTACATATGTACTTTTATTAGCTGTATTACGTGCAGTCTTAAAGTATTTTCTAAGTTCCTTTCTGTTGACTTCAAGACATTTAGTGTGATAAGTGTTTGCGTTGCATTAACTTATTTCTTCTTTATTGCAGTGCTCATATCTCTCCCATAAGTATCTTGCCAGCCTCTGCAGAGTAAGTATGATGGAAGTATAAAATGTTTGAATTGTGCTGTTACAAGGACATGCATAGAAGATAGGTCTGCTTTTAAGAAAAAGAAACGCAGTAGGTTTGATTGCAGTTATGAATGAACATATTCTAGTGTGGAGTATTTCACTTATGGTTTTTAACACTAAAGCAGGAAAAACCTCAAGTCTTTCAGCGTTGTTGACTGCAGAAGCTGGAGAGCACAGTTCAGCAGAATCTAGATTTCAGACCACTTTGGTTTTATACTTAGATGTGTCATAGGTGTTTGACTTCAAAATTATGATAGCATTCACATTGTATTTTTAGCACCACTTCTAGTTGTTAATATTGAGTGTAATTTAGTGGAATAGTGTGTCTAAATGAGGAGGAAAAATAAACACACAATTCCAGAGTTAAAAATGGGATGAAGTAATTTAGGATTCTTCCAGGAGGATTTTTATAGGCCTAATTACGTACTTTGGATGAGTTGGCTAAGAAGCACTTAACAGAGTAGCCAGCTTTTAAAGAATGCTGTTCTTTTCTGGCTGTATCTTTGGGTATATCCTGTGTCCTCCATCCGGTACTTGCTCATTTTCTCTGCTGTTTGTTGGCTCTTGCCTTTTCCGATGACAGCCCCGTTCAGCACAACTGGCTGTAACCCCTACACTGGTATCTGCTCCAGGGCTGACTTTGACACAGAATTTTCCTGTCAAATTAACATATTAGGCTTCTATAAATCTTTTGTGTATAGTTATCAAAAAATAAGTTAGTCATACTCTTAATAGTCTTTGTAATACTTTATGTGAATCTTCTAAAATAAAAGGTGCCATAATTTCCACTGCCTTTTTGCAAAAGTTAGACTCTTTTTGCTTTGAAATACTTGTCATCAAAGGCTTCTGTCGTGTGTAAAGTTTATCTTTGTCTTTCTGCATAGATCAATGCAAAAGGAGAGTGCTTAATATGATTTTTCTGTCTTCTTTTTAGCATTCTAGAAAGAACAATTAGAGCAGCTGTGGAACAGCACCTTTTCGACCTGCAGAGCAGCTTAGATAACGATCTTAAACACATACAGCAACACAGACTGGGCTGTAACAGTGAAGCAAAAAATCCCAGCGGGGATGAGGAAGGATCTAACAACCAGTAAGATTTTGTTCTATCTTAATGAATTCTATAGGGTTGTGTATATTAACTCTTCTAGCACTAACTGCCCCGTTCCCTCACCTCAACCCAAAGCAAAAGTTAACGACTTTTGCTATTCAATTATCTCATATTTGAAACCAAATCACCTTCCGTCAGCTGCCAGTAATCAACAGCTCTTGAAGTATTATTTCATATTTTAAACCAAATCACCTTCCATCAGCTGCCAGTAATCAACAGCTCTTGAAGTATTTTAAATTACTCTTATAGCTAAAAATGTTGTGAAGTGTAACTGCTTCACTGCTTAATTTTGTGCAAAGAGCACAAGAACTTAAATTTACGCAAGTGCTTTCATTCTTACCTCGCTGATGTTACTTAAGACACAATTTTACCATATGAAAGCTCTTGTAGATGCTGTAGCAGTTTTTTTACCTGGTCTTTCCATGTCAACATAGCTATTCTACTGCTCTGGCTGCCACCATTAAAGAAAGAGCTAAAAATGGGTAGAAAGAGCACCGTGGGTCTGTTTGCTTAGTGTTTCAGCCTCATTTGATCAGCTTTTATTTTCATTGTAAATCTTGCCATGTTTTGAGTGTAGTGACTGCCATGGCAGCATTGAGAAGCTGGTACATTTTGGTGCTTTATTAAAAATAAATAGTCGTGATTCATACCCAAACTCCAAAAATGTGTAGTTAAGTAGGACTTCAGTACCTGAAGTCCTTTGTTGCTGAAGTTGCCTGAAACACGGGAAATACTCAGAGTCTAATGCTGTTTTCTGAATTGTTCAACTTTTACTGTTTTTATAAGATCTCTTATCTGTGACAAGATCAGACTAAAGTTAGCAGTTGATCATAAAAATAATAATCATTGCTGGTAATAAGTAATTAAAACTGAGTTTTAGTATTAGAGATTTAATGTCTTTGAAGTAATTTATAAGTGGGTAATTGCCCGAAAGACCTGTTGGAGCCGAATTCCTTTAGTTACAGCATAAGTGCTTTAAAGGCTGCCTGACCTCACAGAAGCAGAGGCTAAAAGTACTGTCACTGCAGGTTTGAAACTGATATACTCTTCTGGCACAGTGACTATTTCAAATGCTTCTGATCATCATTCCACTGTGGATTAACCGTAATAGAGGATATATGATAGCGTTCTTGAAAGAGGTTGTCTGGGTCCTTTAAAGCAGTGCCTCCGGCAGGCTGTGCACAAGGCAAATACAGGATTAAATGAAGAACTAAAAAAAGCAGTGATCCAGGGCAAATTTATTAGAACTAAATTAAAATAATTGCCAGAATTAAGAAAATAAAGGAGTTAAAATGTTAATTTCCGAACTATCCTGTTTACTATCGATATATCTGATAGAGGAGGAGCATTTTTTAAAGTAGTTTGGAATCCTTTTTGAGCGAGGAGGAGGAGGAGAAGGGATTCAAAGGCTTGTGATGAATTACAGAATCATGTGGTAACAAGAATGGTGACAAGTAAAGAATATATGGACATAAATATGGTGTAAATTACTCCAGTCCTGCTGTTAGAAGCCTGAAGTTGAATTCTAGGAAGATTAAACGATAGAAATAATGGGATTTCTCCCTGGAAGGGAACATAGTGATACTGGCCATAAACTAGCTGGCTTGGGTACTGAGAGGAGTGTAGCCACAGCAGCTTCACCCAGGTGTGGTGGTTTCAACATGTCATTGCTTCTGGCTCTTGGTGCTTTTGTCCCTTAGGGCAGCAGAGTAAGCAGGGGATGTATGCCTGACCCTTAACACGAGAATCAAATAAATACATTTTAATATGTCTATCATGTACTGTTGTAGAAAACCTATACATATAAACTACATAAATAATTAAATATTATTTATGCTAATCACGCCCATAGGTGATTAAAAATGGAGATATTACTAGTGTCTTTGGTCAGAATAACTTTCTTGGAAAAAACCCAACCCAGATGTTTCCCTGTTTAAGGAAAACAAAAAAAAAAGTTGTGGTTTTTTTTTTTCTTTTAAAGGTGGCACAACAGTTTGCTGTGAAGTCTTTCTGTTCTTTTCTTTAGGAATGATGTTATTGAAGATAATGACACTGGTAGCAGTGAGAACACAGGAGACTGCTCTGAAGTATTGGTTTGCACTGATTTAGACAGTGAAGCTATGAAACATGATACTGTAACTGAGGAAGAAGAAAGCGTTCAGGTGAGAGGAAGACCTCAGAAAATCACAAAATCACAAATTGATGTGTCTTTAGCAAAATGCTTTAGAGATCCAAGTTTTCAATGTGCCTTTAGCAAAATGCTTTAGAGATCCAAGTTTTCCTAATAGCTCTGATGTAGCCTTACATGGTCCTGTTGCTCTGTGCAGTTAATTGTCTTTGCTGTGTGTGTTTTGTGCACAGAGAAATTTTTGTGTACTTTGGTGCAACTTGTTTGGAGCCTGACTAATGCTGTTCTGTTGGTCTTTTGCAGGTACCAGCCCTTCCTTCTGCTCAGGTAAGTCAGTGTACCAGCGAGCGTAGCACCGGGTAGAACACTGTCTGTGTTAGTAAGGGCTTTCTGAGGAGCAGAAGATCTGGAGCTGGGGTTGTAGCATAGCCCACAGTTGGCACACCTTTTACTGTAGCAAGAAAAGGTAGAAGTAACAATCACCATGAGACTGCAGCCTCTTGACTATGCTTGTGCTAGGAAGTTGTGGTTTTGTAATTAGCTAATTACAGTCTTTTTTGACTGTTTCCAGTTTCTTCTACGGTAGATGAAGACATCCTATTCTTTTCAATGCATCTTCATCTCCTTTCTAGTCAAAAGAGGTTCTGTTACATCTCCTTGGACCTCTTTGCTTATGTATTTGACTTCTGCTGCACTGATAGCTCATGTGCCTCCATACTGATGTGTAAACTTAGAATCCTTACACTTGAGGCATTCAGCAAAACAAAAATGAAACAAAATTAGACTTGTGGCCTCCTGAAGAGGTTCAACATTTAATAATACCAAGTATTGTATATGGTTTGATTGGAAACCCAGCAGTGTAGCAACTGTAAATGTTGAAGTAATTTCTTGCCGTGTACAACAAACATGCCTCAGCTTTGCTTTGAGCTGCAAATTATTAGATCTTCACATACAATCAAATGTGAAGGTTTATAGTATGTATGGCCTGAATTTATAATGATGGCCTGAACTGTACCAGCACTTTTTATTAGCAAGGAGGCATCAGTCTCTCATTCAGGGTATCTTTATGTGATCAAGCAACGCTGTAAAGTATGTGCTGACAAAAGTGAAGTCAGGTAGAACAGGAACGTGCAAGAGAATATAGTTTCTGCTGCTCTGTATGAAACAGCACATACACAGTTGTCAAATAAGCAATTCTAATGAAGAGTTCAGATCTGTAGTTCCTTATTTGTTTGGTAAAACTTTTGTTTTCATAAATCTAAATGATGAATTCTGTGGGTAGAGAGATTTGCTATTCATATGGAGAGAACTTGCTACAATGGGTTTTAGCTTCTCGCCTGTGAGTCCATAAATCTTTCCGAGGGTTTCCTGAAAGAAAGCTAGATAAGCAAACTTTAAAGACTTAAATTAACTAGGAGAATTTATTGAGTCTGTGAACTTGAAAAGATAGAAATGGACACTTGAGCATAGTGAAACTGTGAGACTTTTCTGGAATCTATGTTTTTATTCAAACAAAATGTTGCTGTGGCACTTTTGACTATTATAATGTATTCTTGTCTGACCGTGAGCTCTGCTTTGGGGCTGAAATGGAAACAGAAGCTGCTGTTTTCCACAGCTGCAGTAAGTGTGACTATGCAAGGCTTGCACAGCTCACCTCCAGGGTGGAAATAATCTGCTGGAGTATGACAAATGCCCTGTAATTAAAAATTGTTTCCCTGAGTTGGAATTTGGCTTGAGGTCTGAAATAACGTAAACAGAATAAAGGAGTTTGGTCTGATAAGGGTGAATATTACCTTCAGCAGTGTAAAACTGGCAACTCTTAGGTATATTTGAACTCTCCAGGTAACTTTATTTTATGTTCAGACATTTTAAAGATCACTTGTGAGAAGTTCTTGAGCCTCAAACCAGTTGTAATCTTTTATTTTAAAATGATGTATTTTATATTTCTCATTTCTTATATTTTTCCAAATAAGACGCTTGGAAGAAATCAAGTACTGGGCTTTGGTATAAATGCTTAAAGTTGTCAGTCTTCCTGTGCCAACTTCTAGTGAACAAAATGGTGCCATGTATTCATCTGAACTTGTTTTGTGAGATGGTGTCATAGAAATGCCAGCATTTCTTCATCCCCTTCCAGTTCTGTTGCTGCTTTATTTAGTAACAGGGATTAGTAGCTCCTTTTAGAAGGTCTGTCAGGCTTGTTTCATTTCATGTGTGCTGAGCAGAAGTCTTCATCCAACTCTGTTATTTTCGAGACTGGGATTTACTTACTCCCATGATTTTAGTCATCCCAAATTTCATGCTATCATTGACAATTTGCAGTAGAACTGTTGGTGTTAATAATTAACAGAAATAATAAAAAATGGTTTGCCTGAAGATGGAAAGTAATTGTCTGGCTTCTAGTGATTAAAGCACCTGGTTACTGGCCTTACTTTAGATGTGAAAATATCGCATGGTTAAAAAGTATGATTTCTACACCCCACCCCCCGCAAAAAGCTGTGCTTTTAGTTCTTGAGGATTTTATGTGGTCAGTGATGCTTACAGAATGTTTTCAGCTGAGAATGCCATTCCCAAATCTTTCTAAACATACTTTTTGCCAACAGACTGCAGATGTATTATTGGAGCCATGTGATAAAGATGCAGATGTTGATGGAGAAGATAATAGGGAAAGGTATGTATTTTTCTTTTGTCACTTCCATGGTAGACTGTGTAAAGTCAGTACTAAACTGGTGATTTGTGACAGCACAGTGTAATGTAAGGGAGGTGAAAACAGAGATGATAAGTTGGAGTTGTCTTTTTATGATGATGATATGAAACATGTGGAACTTTATGCATTTGAAAGAGAAAAGAAGTACAAGCCTATATGATATATATCATGGTTTATTTATATATCATGACCTGCATGTTCTGGGCAAGCAAAATAGAAAAAGAAAAAGTTATTTTCTTTAAAATATTTTTGCACATTTTATTGCTCTTAATGATTGAAGAATTAATGCTGGCAATGGTGACTAGCCAGAAAACTTTATTTTAAAGGTTTATTTGCAGTTTGAGTTCCGCACTGATTGAAATTTCGGTTTGAGTTGAATTGAGTTTGAAAATACTTGCTCCCAGATTGAGAATAAAGGTCGGAGCTGTTTTTATATCCATCTTGGTTCAAGTCCAGTTGTTGTTTACGTGCTTCAGCATGAAATTCTGTGTGAAGAACGGGGGGGAGGGCAGGGAAAGCAATGTAACTTTTCCTCCCCAGAATTTTAATTATCAGTTTAAGGAAATACATTGCATATCTGCTAAAACTAGACTAGGGTATGTAAGAATAAAATGTAAAGGCAACATATAGAATTTACTGTCCATTAAGAATTTGTATTTAAAATGATAACTAGGTCTGTGTCTTCTTTTTAGGGAAAATAGTATATTGCTTGGTGGCGATGATAGAATATCTCCAGAGGTGTTTCTGGTAAGATTATGATTTCATTTATATACAGATACACAGCATCTTATAAAATTATATGAAATAGAGATGTGAAGAAAACCAATACATTTAGCTTTTAACATCTTACATTGGTTGACCTGCTGCAAGGTTTGCAAAACCTCTGTTGGAGTTCTCATCATCTGGCTTCACAGAAACTTTTGGCAGCAAAGCAAGCTTAGACTTATGCATCTGGTGTAAGGAATGGTTTGTAATGCAAATAAGTGACTATCATTGGTGGGGGCGCAGGGAAGCTTGTTTATAATTCCTTGAGTTAAGAAAGAAGAATTTATTTGTTTTTCTTTTCCGAAAGTTTCCATAAGTGCTGGAACTGGCACTGATTTGGTACCTGATTTCCAGTTGCTAAATAATAATAAACTTGTTCTGTTATTTAAATACAGGATTCAAGTAGCAAGACATGTGATCTTAATGCAAATACTGATTCAGAGGTGTCAGGGGTTGACAACGTTAATGTTCCTGAGGAAGCTCTGGGTGTTCAAGTACCGCGTCTAGATCTGAAGAATGTGTCTGATGGTGACAAATGGGAAGGTAATTTTTACCCTTTAGCTCAAAATGTAGTTAGCAATGATAAATAGAACATTTGCCAAAATAGAAGCAGCATACAACTTGCACTTTTTTTCTTTACTTCGATGGGAATAATGCGTTCCTGCACACACGGTAAGATTGACCAAGTCATGACATAGGTCCCATCTTTTTTCAGAACTATCTGCAACTTACTTAGGGATCTTAACAAACTGTAAAGAAAAAAGGAGCAACTAAAGTCAAAGGAGCAATTAAAGAAAGGAAAAAAGCTGAAGTTTCGTATTAGAGATTTTGTGGGTTTTGTTTGGTTGGGGTTTTTTTATTTGTTTTGGTTTTGTTTATTGTTTTGTTTTTCTTTTTTTTGAAAAGTGACTTACAGTTCCCAGGACCCTGAGTCTCTCATCCAAATCCTTAAAACCACTTTCTCTGATTAGGTCATCCTGTTAATATTCACATTATGTCTTGGTTTTTTCCTTTCTATTTTTTTAAATGAAAGCTACTGAAGTTCTAATACTAGCTGAGTTAGACTTAAAATCACTAAGCTACTAAACACAGTAATTTATATTTCATTTATTCTGAAAAATCTCTTGGTTGTTTTGTTTTCAACATCAGGAATGTCAGATAGTTTCCATGTCATTGGACAACTTGAAACAGCTTTAAGTTTTCAAATAAAAGTTAAAGTTGCAGATAGATATTATTTCAGTGCCCCTTCTCCCTCCATTGTTTGGATTTTAGAAAAAGCAAAACATTTGAAACAGTTTTCTCTCAGACAGGCTTCCTTATGTTTGTAACCTTATTCTTCATGGCCTTCCAGGTTTAGCAAGTCCCTAAGCTTGTGACTTTACTGAACTTTGTTGCTCAAATGTGTGATAATAACTGTTTAGAGTGTTGTTTTACTTGAGTAAAAACATAACCCCTTTGTAACCAGAGCAAAACTCTCTTGTCGATATCTTCTCTTCAAAGTACTTATCTTTTTATGTGTTCCTTATATCCTGTTTCCTCTGCCTTGTGTTGATATTCTGAATCATCACACCTTAACAAACACAAGTGATACAGTTTGCTAAAATACTGTGAACTGTCACCAATGGTACAGTGACCACAGCCCACTCGTTTCCAATTTTAAGAACTGCAAATACAACTTGGTAGATAGAGTTCAGATTTACTACGCAGGGATGGGATTTTAATTTCCAACAGGCTGTTCCAGGGACAGCCATTCTTTGAGATGCCTCTGTGTGTCACAGTCAAACGTTAGTAAGACCTTGGTAACAAAGAATGACTGCACTTAACTTCTGGTTGCTGTGTTAGCACAGTCAAATGTTAGTAAGACCTTGGTAACAAAGAACGACTGCACTTAACTTCTGGTTGCTGTGTTAGAAAAATTGTAATTAGTGAAGTGTACCTGGGATGTACGTAGTTTGACAGTGCAGCGTATAGTTGTAGCGTGTCAGCACATAAAGCTTTCTGCTGCAGCTCAAATGGTAATAACTTCTTGTTAATTTGTCACCAGTGTTGACTGGTTTCCCAATTAATTGCCTACATTAATCTATCCTTCGCTTTTAGCCCTTTTACAAATGATGAGGTTTGCAACTTGTGATTGAACTACAAAACTTAGATTTGTAAAATATTTGCTGGTTGGCCTCCTTGAGCCCTAGCAATATGTACATTCAGAGTACATCATGTCGTGCAGAAGCTGATTTACAGGCATCCAAAGACACCAAGTCCTGATTTTCATTCTTGTTGCCCAAGTTAATTTCTTTGTCTGAAGTTAAAAAAAACCTGAACAACAACAAAAAAAACCAAACCAAAACCAAACCTGCTTATGTTCTCAGTGCTTTATTTACATTAATTGCTTACTTGCACATTACATTTTGTTGCATCCTCTATTTGTGTTAATCTGATTTAATACGTATTCTCAGAAGGTTTGTGGCTTCCATTCTCATTATTTCCTTAAATCTGCTCATAAAAGTTGCTTTCGTTTTACTTACCCAAATAATTTTATGACTCTTTCTTTGAAAAGAAAGTAACATATCTGTATATAAATTTATATTACAAGCTTCTTGGTAGGAAGGTCATGACATTTTGCAAGAAGTGTGATTTCATTGCAAAGTAGTTGAATTTTGGCTGTTCCTCAGGCCTGTTGAGAATGGGTATTAGGATCTCAGCCTTCCAAGGCACTGCGAGTCCTTGTGGCGTTACGCTGGAGGAGATTGGCTTTGGAAAGAAATCTCTACTAGTCCAAATCTTCTTACAAGATTTGGGTTATTAAAGCCTATGTGACAGAAAACTTAAAGTCTGGTAACCAACAGAGTTCTTGAAAATGAACGTAAAATGCTTGCTGGCTTAAGGCAAAAATGCAGATCTATATTTCTGAGTATTTTTTTTCTGCATTTGTCCTGCTTTTTGGAAATCACCGCCATCTATTTTTTACAAGCTGTGAGCAAAAAAAGCCTATTTAGGACTTGTCTTTTGTTAATGTGAGGATGCATGTGACTCTTACCGAACTACAATAAGTCTTTACTATTCCTGTGTCAGTTCTTTGTAAACCTTTTCAGTAAAAAGTTCAAATTTGCTAAGGACTGAGCATCCTTACCTGCCACTGAAATTGCTTGGAAGCTGAGAGTGCTCAGGGCCTGGCCCAAAAGATGGGGTGTTTTTCCCTGGTACTGTATCTTCCTGCTTTACATGTTATGTATAGTTTGTTCTGACTGTGCTGTGTGTTCACTTTAGTATTTTTTGCCATTCTTTTTCATTTTATTAGCACCATGCCCTATCACTTTCCCCCTCATTGATTTCAAAACAATGCATCTGCAGAGAGAAGGGGAGGGTAAGTATGGTTCGCCATACGTTCAGTTATCTGCCTTTTGATAGTTTATGGTTTGCTTTTGAACTAACCCTTCACCTGCTGTCCCTTACATCTGGGGAATATTCTGATCTGCAAGTTTTTTGTTTACTTTTTCCTAAAAGGTCCCCCTCTTGTATCTTGTGCTGTGTAAACAGGCAAGATTACGGCTTAAAAACCAAATGAAAAATCCCAATAATGCTTAGTAAACGTACAATGGAAAGCAGGTACAAGGGTTATTTTTTTTTTTAAACTTTGTGGGTTTTATTGTTGTTCTGCACACTTTGAACCCAGTTTTCAAATTTCTGATTTGAACTGGAAAATGTAGACACGCTCTGAAAGGAAAAGGGGGGGTGGGAATTTAAATTAAAGTGCTTGGAAGGCCGTATCAGCTATTTGTTAGACAGCAAGACAATCATACCTGAGAATTGTAAGGGATGTTAGCAACTAACTTTTTATAGAGATTTAAAAAAATTGATTGTTTTGGAATCCCCTGCCTAAAAAAAAATCACCTTCCACAAATTAAGAAATCTCTTTTTCTCAGTGGTGTCAAGATGGATTTAAACTTAAAAGCCCAACAACACTCCTTTAAAAAGACATAAGCAAATACGTATTGTACCTAAAGAGGTATTTCCAGGTTTACCTTCTTCAAAACCAAGAAGACAATCTTTCGAAGTACTTGTGTAAGGTATAAAAATCAATTTCCACAGCAAAATATTGCAACGGACAATAAATATATTCTTCTAACTATGGATTTCTGAGAAGTAAATAAGGCTCTTTTACACTCTTGAACTGTTCAAAGATGCATACTCCCAAGATACACTTTGAAAAAGGGATCCTAGTGTGCATACTTCATTTCAGTACCTTTTTCTTTCAATTGTTATATGACGGAATTTGTAGCTTTCTGATGTATTTCAATGTTTTTATCCACTTTGTGTATGACACCATATCCTCTATAGCATACAACTAAGCATTGGGTATGCATTTTTGTTTCCTTTTGGCTCTTGTTTATAATTCTGTTAACAGAAAGGTACCATGTTGTGTCCCCTTTTTATCTTCTAGATCCGTTTCCTGCTTTCAAGTCTTGGCAGGAGGACAGTGAATCTGGAGAAGCTCAGCTTTCCCCGCAGGCTGGAAGGATGACTAACCATCCCTTGGAAGAGGACTGTCATCCGATATTGTCGCATCGTAGTTTGGATTTTGGGCAAAGCCAACGTTTCTTACATGATCCAGAAACCTTAGATTCTTCATCCAAAGCACTTTCTTTTGTTAGGTATGTCTTCTAATGCAATTTGGTGGGTGTTGGAACAGGAGATGTTAATGCCAGTATGAATATACAGCTGTTTAAGAACCTCATGGGTTTTCATGATACAAATTAACTCATAGAATCATAGAACCTTAAAGATCACCTAGTTCCAACCCCCCTGCCTCTCCTCCCACTACACCAGGTTGCTCAAAGCCCCATCCAACCTGGCCTTGAACACCTCCAGGCATGGAACATCCACAGCTTCTCTGGGCAACCTGGGCCAGTATCTCACTGCCCTCACAGCAAGGAAGTTCTTCCTAATATCTGATCTAAATCTCCCCTCTTTCAGTTACCTCTCACCCCATGGCTCCCCTCCCTGATCAAGAGTCCCACCTCTCACTCTATGGCTCCCCTCCCTGATCAAGAGTCCCTCCTCAGCTTTCTTGGGAGCCCCTTTAGGGACTGGAAAGGACTCTAAGGTCTCCCCAGAGCTTTCTCTTCTCCAGGCTGAACAACCCCAACTCTCTCAGCCTGTCCTCACAGCAGAGGGGCTCCAGTCCTCCCAGCATCTTGGTGACCCTCATGAAAACCAAGGTCAAATGTAGCATTATGTGGCCATTCTCATGAAAGCCAAGGTCAAATGTAGCATTATGTGGCCATTTGGCCATTCTGCCTGCCCGGGAACTGCTGTAGTGAGTCAGAGCAGAGGTTCATCCAGGATGGTATCGTGTCTCCCAAAGTGGCCAGTGGCAGATGCTGCTGGAAAGAGTTTAAAAATAGGGCAACTTGCACAGATTTCCCTGGCATCTGGTCAGGGCTTTTGACAACCTGCTGTGATGGCACTTCCTGGGCTGCAGATAGTATTTATATCCTTTGTTTACGAGTCTTTACTGGATTGCTGGTCTATGATTTTGGCCTTTTTTTGGTTTGATTGTTTGTTTTTCCCTCAGTAACATGTCTGTCTATTTTCACATTGCATAATTTGGGGTTTATTTTTCATATATCATGTTGTCCACTCCCACTAAAGAGACCCAGGTTGTACAAACCATCGCAACTGAAATGGGCAGTGATGGTCTGGGCAGGTTCTTCATTTGGGCTGTGGAAAGTCTTCATTCAGAAAGGTTACAGGAAAGGATTAGCTGTTAGAGGGAGAGGTGTGGGACAGCAGAATAGTGAAGAGGTGGGGTTCTTAACCCAGGTCCTCTCCTGCAGATTGAGGGGATCGAGACTGTACTCGTTAGATAAGTCTCTATTAACTTGCCTAAGACAGTTAAGTGGAGCTGCCTAATTACCAAGGATTGCTCAGTGGTAGTTTCCAGCGTAGGCTTTATTCTGTGCCCAGTACTTCAAGAAGTACTGAGTATCTAGTGACCTGGGTAAGTAGCCTGGCTACCAGAAAGATCTGAACTGTTCTAATGATAATGTAATTAATGGTACATTAGTTTATTGTATTTGAACTTTACATGCTGCTTTTCTGCTAGGGGTATTACTGAAATTAGAGAGGAAAAAATAACACATCACGCTTTGAAGGCAGCAGATCAAAGCATTTTGCTTCAGTAAGTAAATAGCTCTGACTGAAAACCTGAGAAGAATGGATTTTGAACTGGAGAAAAAAATTGAAATTAGTCATCTGTTACTCAAATATGCAAGTTGTCTGCACTTGTTTAATTATTTAAATGACATTTTAAAAATGTTTTTAATACAGAACACGAAGAGCATCCTTTAGCTCCAAAGATGACAAAAGGGAAGACAAGACACCCTATCAGCTTGTCAAAAAATTACAGAAAAAAATCAAGCAATTTGAGGAACAATTTGAAAAAGAGAAAAACAGTAAGGTAAGTTACCACTTTCGCTTTTACTCAGAATAAATGACTGCCTGGTGGAGCTAAGTTACTTCTTGTAGTTCATGACCCAGTAATTGTTGGTTGGCAAATGAGAAGAATTTTGTTATACGCTGCTCTCTGCAACAGTAATACTGGAAAACGTGCTGTTATTCCTGAGCCCAAAGAAGGGCAGGCAGTGCTGTTTATGCAGTGAGAGTGAGGGGGTATCAGAGGAGGTGTGGGGAGAGACAGAAGCATTTTACCACTCTCTGGGGCAACATCTGATGTCTTGTTTCAGGTTTATTTTCACAAGTGTTCTCGGGTTGGCACTGAGGTCTGGTCTGATACTGAGTGACATCCATGTTACAGGTCGCATTCGCTGGCATAAATACTACCAAATCTTGAAAGAAATATTTATAAACAAGATTTAGTGTGTAAATGTGGTTTTTATATTGTTTTTCAGCCTTCCTATAGTGATATTGCAGCCAATCCAAAAGTTTTAAAGTGGATGACTGAACTTACCAAATTGAGAAAGCAAATAAAAGGTAAGGGATGCTACAGTTTCTGGTTTTCTACAAACACAAATAATCTACATGGCTAAAATGGCTAAGTCATTCAGTAAAATTCTACAGGGCAGTAAAAATACTCCATTACTAGATTCTGAACTATTCAAAAATCAAAATAAAATTATTTTGGAGGCATTGCTTTTAGTTCATTAGGAGACAGTTTACCTGTTCAAGGTGTTGCATTCCTTCTCTTGCAGTTAAATGAACTGAGAGTTATTTCCTTTAAACCTCTTGAGCAATTTTTCTCATTTCAGATGCAAAGCAGAGGAACTCAGATGGAGAATTCATACCTCAAACAAGGCCACGAAGTAACACTCTTCCAAAAAGCTTTGGTTCCTCTCTTGACCAAGAGGATGAAGAAAACGGAGATGAGACGCGGGTTGTGCAGAAGGAGAAGAAGCCCACCAAGGAAGCCACACTTGAACTCATTTTGAAAAGATTGAAGGAAAAACGAGTTGAGAGATGTTTGCCAGAAGATATAAAAGTAAGTGTAAGGTTCTGGATGGGCTGTTTCTAAGAGAATAACAGAGGGAGATAGACCCTTCAGATAGCACTTTATTGACAGTGATGCCTCTGTCGAGCAGCCTTTCACCAAGCCCTCGTATTTTAGACTCTGTGGGGAATTGATCAAGATAAACCACATCGTCCTTGCTCACTCTTTACTAAAATATTTACAAGTATGTGCTGACAATATTTGACAGCTATAAATGGATGAAGGTGGGATGTATGGAATTAACTGAACTAAGTTTGGCTGAGGCATCTGTATAGCTGATAGCGTAGAAAAACTGTTCAAGTGATTTGTGTTTGATTAAATGCAAATTATTCTTCTGACAGAAAATGACAAAGGACCATTTGGTAGAAGAGAAAACATCTCTCCAGAAAAGTCTCCTGTATTATGAAAGTCAACATGGACGACCGGTAATACTTGGGTTTACTTCATCAAACTATATTAATGTGTGTGTAGACAACAGTAACTCCTGTGCAGTAGTGATGCTATGATTTAATGCTGCTCTGTGGGGTTTTTTTCTTCTCCAAAACACAGTTGCCATGTTGCCATCAGAGGAAATGACTGCACTGACTTCTAAAAAAAAAAAAAAAAAAAGTGTATGTATTAATAGGCCCTTTCTCCACAAACCAGTAGGTTAGTGGAGTTTGCAAAGTGATTGGTGTTGTTTGGTGCCTTGTATGTCTGTGAGGCAAAGGGAAATCTTAAAAATAAATGACACCATTGAATTTCAGGGGAAAAGGCCTGAAATATTATTCTGAATTTCACAGAAACAGAAATGAAAAGACATGGGTTTTGGTTTTTGTTTGTTTTTTTTTTTTCCCCCCAAGTGTGTGGCATGTACCTTACGCGATTGGAGGTATGGAAGGTGGAGTAAGTGATTGGCAGTTAGTGCCTCAAGTTCTGGGTTTTTATTTTGGACAGTGATCAGCATCACCAGTCCAATCACAAGATCTTTCCAGTTACTCTTCTGTCAGCCTTCTGGACCTGCCCCACTGGCTGTGGAATCAGTGCTGCCATAGACATCCCACCGAGCCTTTCCATCTAAACCCGAGGGAGAATAATGGTCCTGGAGATGCTGGCACTGGTTCTACAGTCCCCTTAGGCAGAAAATGCCTTTAAGATTTGTTATGTTAGAGTACATATTAGAATTGAGAATAAATCACATAAAATCTCTCTCCAGTTTCATCTTTTTCTTTTTTCCCCTCTCATTTCTATGGAATCATCATCATTGCTAGGCACACGGTCTTCTCCACTAGTTCTTGGTCCCTTTTTTGCCTCTTTTTCCATGGGTCTTTAAGGATAGAGGGTTTGCCTCTACTGAATCTCCCTTAACTTTTTGGAAATCTTTAAAACTTCTTCCTGAAAAATCGTAGAATCATAGAATGGTTTGGGTTGGAAGGGACCTTTAAAGGTCATCTAGTTCCAACCCCCCTGCTGTGGACAGGGACACCTCCCACAGAAGGGAGCTAAAGTGAGAAAAGAGAGCAGGAAAAAGCACCCACTTATTCCCCCTTATCTGCATAAACCCGATTTCATATTCACAATTTAAAGTAGTTTTATGTTCCTAACTGGAATGTACGTGGCCTGGCATGAGGAGCTATACCACTTTGTTTGCTTGTATATTACTGAGTGACTGGTATAATTAATTCTGTGGTTTCTCTGCCTTCAGGTTACTAGAGAAGAAAGACATATTGTGAAGCCACTTTATGACAGATACAGACTTGTAAAACAAATGTTAACTAGAGCAAGCATTACTCCTATTCTTGTGAGTAAAACAAATGCTATTTCTATTCTTTTTCCCACCTTTGAACTGCTAGGCTGCCTTTAGAGGAGTTAGTAACACTGTTCCATGAAATCCACCTGTCTTGTGGAAGATCTAAGGTGATACTGTCATTGTACTTGAGACGTTTGATTTACTGCAGAGAGCAGAGCAGTTCAAAGCTGTCTGTGACCTTGATGGCTGTTAGGAAGTAAATGGTTCTGGGTGGAAGGAAATAATCTGTTTTTGCTGTGGCTGAGACGTTCCCCAGTTGCTGTGCTACCTATGGATCTGCAGTACATACTGTGCTTCTAGTCCTCCCAAGAATAGTAACACCAGTTGCAGTGGAACTCACCCCTCTCTTGTGCTGCAGGTTCCTGTCACCAGCAGCAGGAGGTGACAGGAGGGGTAGGATGGCCATCAGAACCATTTCATTCCTTCATCCTTCCCCAGTGTCAGACACGGTAGCAACATCTGCAGCATCTGTACAACATCTGTGCTTTTCCATGGTGTTTTCACTTCATTTCCTTCTCACTTGGCAGTGCTTTCTGTTCTTTTCTTTCCTCTCTCTGTGGGCTTGTAAGAGATGAGGAAGAAAAGTCTCCATACTGTGCCAGGAGATTGGTGTAACCTTGTTTATGGTACCTGTGAAACAGCTGGGGAATGACAACCAGCTCCTGGCTTAGTTCTTCATGAGCTAGAACCCAAATCTCACGTGATGACCCAGACTTGCAGCAGAACAGATTTGATATGAGCTACTTGACCTTTTTAGAAGGAAAGGACTGCGTGGCTGACGTGAGATAATCTCTTTACGCACAGACAGGTCTCTACCAGATTTACGTAGCCGGGCAGTGTCTTACTCAGCAGGAACTTAATCGGCTGTTTACGTTGACTCCAACTGTTCTTAGCTGTCCCCTTTGAGCTGTAGTACGTTGAGATAAAGGGACCAGTTCCACATCATTCCTTTTTTGCACACACATTTTTGGGCAGCTGTTTTTATAGAAAAATGTATTTTATGTGGCAGTCATATTTCAGTTTAAGGTCTATTACATCACTATCCCTTTTTGAACTCCATAAACACAGGTTGTTTTTGGACACCTAAGCTTTTCTCCATGACTGTTGAGTCAGAGGCTGGTGGGGGTGCCCTTGACTGGTTGAGTTTTATCCCATCTCTCACCTCAAAAATCTGACTCTTCAGCTGAGATGCATTTGATATTGCCAGTAGCCTTATGACTATATCGTAGTCATTCTCTTTTTGTTCTTGTGGTTTTTTTTTTTTTTTTTTTCTGTGAAATAAAGGGCTGGGTGATAGGCAACCAAAAAGATTTTAAATTCAGAAGAAATCTTGGAAACATAATTCCTAATCTGTGCTGTAGGCAGCTTCTGTAAAATATTTTTCACAGGCCTCTGCTTTTGAATCCTATGAGAGAGATGTGGAGCTCTCTAATTACCAGGATTATTCAGTGGTAGCTTCTAGGTTGGCTGTATCCAGTGTCAGGTATTTCAAGAATTGCTTTTTGGTTTATATGACACTTGCTTCCATGAGAGCTCCCTTATGGTGTCCCTGTAAACTAACGACATACCCTGAAGCCTGTGTGGAAATGTCCAAAGAAGCAGGAATCTATTTACCTTTCATGAACTAAAGTTTTTTGACAGGTCACTGTCTGCGTGTGCCTTTTGTGTTCCACCTCCCTCCTGTTGAAAGAGTCCATGTGTTGATATTGTTTGTGCTGTCCAGGGATGAGCAGGGTGTCACCATGGGGGTGTGTGACACCTGTAAGGCACAGGGGCTCCTGCTTTGGGCTGGAGCTCAAAGGGTTTTGCCTCTGAGGGGTGGCAGTAGCCTCAGCTGCGGGGCTTCAGAGGCCAGAGAAACTGGCAGAAGATAAAAACCAGCCTTGGCATTGTCTAACTTCACCTTTATAATCTCCCTGTGGTTTGGTTTGGGAGGAACAAGAGCAAATACGAAATTCAGAGATGCTTTTGCACTTTGTGAATTTTCTACAAAACACGGAGAGTGAGTGCTTTTTATTTTAAGAAGAGGAATATTAAAGTTTCAGATATTTTTACTTCTCTGTCCAGGATACTTTGGGCATCTGAGTTTTTTGGCTTATTATATGGTAATTTAGTCTGTGCTCTGTAAGTATGTTTGCAGTCTTTTATTCTTCTCAAAGAAGAAATAACTTTAGGTGTTAGGTGACTTGAACAAAATTCTGACCACACGCAGCATTCATTAATTGCACTTAATGAAACAAATTTTTGCAGGGGTCACCATCAACCAAGAGGCGGGGGCAGATGTTACAGCCCATCATTGAAGGTGAAACTGCCCATTTTTTTGAAGAAATTAAGGTGTGTATGGCGCATTTAAAAAAAAACCACAACAATTTCCCAGTGTTTGTAATAGGGAACTGAAATATTTCATATTTGTTTGCAATTTCTGCTTTGACTTTCAGGAAGAGGAGGAGGAAAGTGATGGTTTGTCTGCAGACCTGAACGATATCTTAAAAACTGCTGTCCAGACACAGTCTGTTCTGAGCCCGGTTGAAAACTCCGAGTCTGATGTTGAAGATGGTCAAGAGAAGCTGACCCGGGACCTCAGGCTGTCAAGCACCCGCGCTGCTTCCATGTAAGTGGAAAATAAAAAGGTGACTAATTCTCTTCTAGAAGTTGCAATTATTGCCCTTTCAGTCGTGACAGCAAATCTCTGATGTCAGGGGAAGTGCCACATTCAGCACTTCTCAGGAAGCGTTTGGGTTGATGAGTGATCTCTCCTCTGACACGCATCACTGAGACCTTTTTGTATTCAGTGACTTGTTTAGTATCTTCTAAACCTTCTCCAGCCCTACTTGAGCTGTGTCAACAGCAGAAAATTTATACCCTTTTATTAACTGCTACTTTGTTCTCAATATTTCACCGCTAGACAGACAGCATATTCCTTCTGAGCAAGAGAAGTGTACTATCAGTGCAGCTGGCTCAGTTGGGTTTGGGTCTGCTTTCAAGGATTGAATTTTTATTGGATAGCCAACAGTATTTTTCTTTTACTTGAAATTTTTAGGCCTGAATTATTGGAGCAACTGTGGAAAGCCAGAGCTGAAAAAAAGAAGCTACGGAAGACTCTGCGAGAATTTGAAGAGGAGTTTTATCAGCAGAATGGAAGGTTTGTTCACCACAAGCCCAGATGCTGGAGAGCAGCTTTGGGCTCATTTTGTAGCCAGTTTTTTTCCAACTTTCTTGTGTGGATGTTGCTGAGTGGAATCTGATCTGATCAGATCTACTGTGTCCAGCTTTGGAGTCCTCAACACAGGAAGGACATGGACCTGTTGGAGCAAGTCCAGCAGAGGGCCACCAAAATGTTCAGAGGGCTGGGGCACCTCTGCTGTGGGGACAGGCTGAGAGAGCTGGGGGTGTTCAGGCTGGAGAAGAGAAGGCTCCAGGGAGACCTTATAATGGCCTTCCAGTATCTGAAGGGGCTACAGGAGAGATGAGGAGGGACTCTTTGTCAGGGAGTGTAGCGATAGGATGAGGGGGAATGGTTTTAAACTGAAAGAGGGGAGATTGAGATGAGATATTAGAAAGAAATTCTTTGGTGTGAGGGTGGTGAGAGCCTGGCCCAGGTTGCCCAGAGAAGCTGTGGCTGCCCCATCCCTGGAGGGGTTCAAGGCCAGGCTGGATGGGGCTTGGAGCAACCTGCTCTGGTGGGAGGTGTCCCTGCCCAGGGCAGGGGGTTGGAACTGGATGGTCTTTAAGGTCCCTTCCAACTGTAACCATTCTGTGATTCTGTGATGAATCTCTGGTATAAATGATCTCCTGAAGGAGATAACATCCTGGTGTACTTTTACTAGCAGAGGACGCCTGCTCCTGAGTTTTGTCTCCTCCCTTACAGTCTGTAAAGCATAGTAATGAAAGTGGAAGAAGTTGTTTTTTTCATTAAAAAAAATTAATTAAAATACTTATACAAATATATTTTATATATATAAAACCCCCTCAGATTACCCCTGTGTTTTTAACATAGGGCAAAGAAGTTTCCCTGTTTGTGTAACAGGAGGTTTTTCCAGGTGTATCACCTTATCAACAAAACTAAAACACTCTTAAGAGGTCAGGCAGGTTCCTGACTGGCAGATTTCTCATTTATCTACACTTTCTACTCTATTTCTCTGTAACTATCAACTCCTGGCCCATTGGTCGTATAAATCCCACTGACTTCCTGGATTTGGTTAATTCCTTTTGACTTTAATGGCAAGTAATGAGGTTCTTAATGAAGGGTTGATTTAAAAATAAGTTGGATTAATAGATTAAATTATTATAGTTCAGTTTTAAATAAATTAGAATAATTTTCTGCTATCAATTTGTGGGTCAGTCTACATACATACAGTGAACATGTAGATCGACTTAAATTTATTTCTATTTTTCAGTAATGTATATATATATAGGATGTGAAATGAAAGTATTTGTATCCTGTTAATAAAGTCTCTAGAAGAATTTAAAAGAAGCATTTATAATCAGTTGTGCTGAATAAATGCTGCTGGGTTTTCTGTTCAGCTTTTTAGGTAAAATATAACAATGTGTCTATTATTGGTTACCAAGCTGCTAAAAATGGTTTTATCTGCCCTAAGATACGTTGCTGCTGTTGTGTGGAAGAGAAGATTTTCTTCAAACTTGGCTCTGTTTCTCGTTACAGGAACGTGCAGAAAGAAGACCGGGTTCCGATGCTCGACGAGTACAGGGAGTACAAGAAAATCAAAGCCAAACTCCGGCTCCTGGAAGTCCTCATCAGCAAACAAGATTCTTCAAAATCCATTTAAATGGTGTTCCTCCAGCCGGTGGCTGCCGTGGGGTTCCGTGGTTCTCGGGGGCTCGTGTTGGTTTGTCGCGCGCTGTTGAAAGCATCCGGTTCGTGCACTTTATGGTGGTGCCACTAGAACTTGTTTGAGGGTGAGTAGGTCCTGTCTAGAGAGCAAGTCAGATGTCTCAGTTCGAGACTGCTCTATCCAACTTTAGCAAACACAGGTTCCATCAAAAGTTTTCTATTCCAGATACATCCATCTTGTTCCAAAACAACCACAGCTTTTTTAGGTTTTTTTTTTTCACTTTAGCATTCAAGAACTTTGAGACTTTTGTTATTACCAACATTTTGCATTATCGAAGAAATTATTAATAGCGTAATGCTACACTGAACTACTCCTCCTGCCTATTTTTTTTTTATTTTGGGGGTGGAAAAAAGTCAGCAAATTAAACATCCAGCTCTTTTTCCTGGAACATTCTAAAACCAGAGTGAAATTCCTTTCAGAGGACTGCTGTGGAACAACTTTAATTTTTGCTATTCTAAATTGCACCTATAACACGGTAATAATTCTATGGATTTTGCTCATTAACGGTCACGTTTCCTCCTTGGTAAAGATGAGAGTGGACAAACCAGAAAGTGACCTTCCTTTAGTGTCTTTTAAAACTTGGAAAACTGCAAAGTTGTATCACACGCTGCCTCCAGGACTTGTGTTACTGCTGTTCATTCTCTCGGTCGATGGGTTGTTATCCACTAGTGGTGACATAGTGTTTGGGCTGAATTGGATACTGCGTCTCCGCTCGCGGAAGATTTGAGGAACATTAAAGAACATTTGGATGTGTGGGGAATCTGATGGCGCTGAGACTCGAGTAGCTCCAGCAGAAAAGAGTTCAAATTCCTCTGTACCTGAAAGAAGTGTTGGTATCAAGGGCTAAAATCAGTGTAGTTACCGCGCACCACAGGGTGAACTGTTGGGTTCCATTGGAAAAAAAAATCACTGCTGGTTTAGCACGATTTTGTTTTACAGTTGGAGAATAAAAATAAGTTCCCTAACCCTTAACGATGTAAGCAAAACAGTTTATGGGCCTTGCATGATTTAGCTTCGGAGTTGAAACTAAATAATGTTTTTGAGTATCACATCTGCCGTGCTGAATGATGATGATTTAGCTCTAGCTTTACGCTCCGCAACAGCCAGCAGCAGCTGGTTTTGATCTGGCAAAATCTAAGTGTTAATTTTTAACTGGTGCTTTCTCAGTTTTAATTTTTTTTTGTTCTTTTTTGTTTTTTTTTTTCCTTTAATGTATGGGTTTGATTGTGGCCACGTTTTGCATGCACCTCCTCTCACTGCATGTTTTTTATGACGGGCTGATGTCAACAAGAGCTATTATTCACACTGCTTTCTGAAAGACCAAAAATGAACTTTTTCGTAAGGAATGGCTGGCATGTAACCTCAGAGACTTGCTGTTGGGTCGTGAAGCATATGAAATAGGTTGAAAGTAGGATATTTAGTGCTCAGATTTCATCTGTGTACTGTAGAATACTTCTTGGTTTGGTTTTTTAACTCTGCTTGTAGGCATGTAATTTTGGAATTCAGAAAAGAAAAAAAAAAGCACTAAAACTATTGAGCACTGGTGGTTTGCCTCTTTTTTTGGGGGGGGTTTATTTTGGTTTTTTTTTTTTTAAACTGCAAAATGATGTGGGACCTTGGAGAGTGCTGAGGTTAAACTAGTCCTGAGACCATTTATCCATTTTTCTTCAGTTCCGTTGTGCAATGTACACTTCAGTTCCTTTTCTCTCAGTCTGCAGACACGGGTGTATCCAACCATTGAAACTAATGTGTACTGTATAGTGTTGTACATGAATGTTTTGTGTTTTATATACCACATGCAAAATGTCAATATGCACTATTTAAATGTTTTAAATAATATATTCCTCCTTTATAATGCTTAAATCTATATGATTCCGATATTTTTATAAGTGAGTGAGTGATCAGACTGGTTCCAATTCAGAATTAACAGCTGCTTTGTGTTCGTTATGCGGTGTTTGGCTGTTTATTCCCTAGTAGATGCGCATGGCAACAGTTAACGCTGAGTGTGGTTTGTGCCATCCTTGTTGAGCAATAAAGAAATGGTAGAACTAGGCATTTTGTGATATAACAGTTTTACTTTGGTAAAAGCAAAACCTATATATCTATATGGATATATAGATATGGAATATATATATAAACTGAACCAGATATAATTGCATTGCTATGTCTGGTGCTCATTGTATAGACTTTTATAATAAAAGTACCTTAACCTTTATTGTCATATATCGTTGTTTCTCATCGTGCTTTCTCCTCCGCTGCCGTCTCTTCAAACCAAGGGCCAAGTCCTTCGCTGTTCCTGGGGGTGTGTGTATTTTGGGGTGTTGCTCAGGTCCCCGTTCTGCAGCGGAGCCACCAGCTCCGGTGACAGCTCAGGTGCTGAGACAGCCCCTGGTGAACCTGTGGCTCTTTGGGCCTTATTTTACCTCGTTAAAGCAGCTCATTCCTGCTCCAAGAGCAGCAATGTCAGCAGCAGATGGGGCAGGGCTGATTCAGCCATTACTGGGCTAATTAGTTCACTACTGGTAAATACACCTTCAGCTGATGAGCAGTAATTGATTGTGTCTCTGTATATTTAGCAGGGCCTGTTGTGGCAGGACAAGGGATAATGGTTTTAAGCTAAAAGAGGGCAGAATTAGACTAGATAGAAGAAATTGTTTACGCTGAGGGTGGTGAGAGCCTGGCCCAGGTTGCCCAGAGAAGCTGTGGCTGCCCCATCCCTGGAGGGGTTCAAGGCCAGGTTGGAGGGGGCTTGGAGCAACCTGGTGTGGTGGGAGGTGTCCCTGCCCAGGGCAGGGGGGGGACACTAAATGGCCTTTACAGATCCTTCCTAACCCAAACCATGCCAGGATTCTCTCAGTGGTCTGATTTTACGGCTGTGCTTGTGGCCAGAGCACGCTGTTACTGCACCCACTGCTGTAATCACAAGAGGATGCTTTTCCTCCAGACAAAATAGATTCTTTTTTTTCATAGTATATTGAGGTAAGTTCATACGAAAAGTGCTTGAGGTCTTTCAAACTGACTCTTCTGTTGTATTTTGTATAAATCACCTTTTTTCAGCCTAAGGCCTGGCAGAGACAGAAGAACTGAAGGTGAAGGCTCTGCTGGTGAATGGGTGGCAGTGAGGTACGTGGGAGGAAGGAAGACAGCTGGGATGTTGAGGGAGAGGAGGCAGAAGGTGGCCTTCAGTACCTCCTTTGGGGTGGGACAGGACACCCTTCCCTCTGATCACATCATCTTTCCTCTGAAGATGGGGGAAAAAGAAAGCACAAACTCTTAGGACACTGGCTTGAAGAACGAGCAGGGCTGTTACAGATCTGTTCTTCAATCCTCTGTTCTTCCTTAGCATTCTTTTTTCCACAAAGCTTGCTCTGACCAAGATGCCAATGAGAAGACAAAGATCCTTCAAATAATGGTTTGGTGTGAACTGTTTAAAATCCACATGCTACAAAACGATGACCTAAGAAAAATACAAGAATTAGGAAAACAACCCTGTTTTAAACACCATTAGCCAAAACGGAGGCAGAACAGATATTTTTGAGGGTGCAAAAAGCTGGGTGGTACTGGGACAGATCTTCTTTGATGAAGACCCAGTTCTGATTCAATGCAGATCTCCACTATTCCAGGCTTTACCTTTTCCAAGAGCTTTGCTTGAGCCGTCACGTGTGCGTGGGGCAAGGACCCTGCTGGCAGAAGTGAGGTGGGCTGTAAGGAGGGTTTCCTGTGCTCCAGAGGAGTAGGGGAAGGATGAGGAGCACTTGAAAGCTCTTCCACGAAGTTCTGGGTAAGTAACTGTGGCTAAAGGTTACTTTTTGGAGGAGAGGGGTTGCCAGGAGGCAGAAAGGTCGGAGATGCCGAAGGTGGAACGAATCTGTTCTCCTGCGCGTCAGGCTCTTGAGTAATCCTGATAAACAGGTCAGCGGTGACCTACAGAGACTGGGCCAAGTGTCACGGGACACTGCACAGCAACGAGGGGAAGGGGAAGGAAGAGGCAGTTTTGTTCTAAACTGGTCTCTTTTAGAAGAGCGAGGGGTGTCTGGGCTCGGCCAGGAGACTGAAGTACAAAACCAGTGAACCCTGACAGGCAGACCAGTGCGTGGCTACGTCGTGTTACTGGGCTGAAGTGGTATCTTCAGACAGCACCTGGAGGTGTGTTTTATTTGTGGCTGAGTCCCAGCAAAGGACAAATGTTAACGATTACACGGGAGTAGGTGGCTTCTGGCCTGGATGTACCACCTGGTCTCCAAGGCAACGGGTATAAATGGATTTAGGAATAAAAAGGAGTCGGGAAACTCGGGCTGGTGCGAGGGTGAAGCAAAGCGCCCTCTAGTGGTCCCAGCTCTTAAGGCTGATCGGAATAAAAGATTATTTCCGGAAAGAATAATAATATATTTTTCTCTGAAGGCAACAGTGACCTGTTTTGGGAGCAGCAGGTGCCTGGAACAAGAGCTGTTGAGGAATAAGCATTAACCTTGGCAGCAGATGCAGCAGCAAAAGGAAGTTGGGGGAAGTGAGGGCTGGTGACCCCCGTTCTGGACCGTGCTGGGTGATGGGCAGGGAGGTGGCAGCGTGGCCACAGCTCACCCTCTGCTCCCTCTGCTCCCAGAGCAGCAGCTGTGTCCATGTCTCTCGGCAGCCCCAGGATGGGGCAGAGGAGTAAATGCCATCTGGTGTTTGCAGAGATGCCTCCTCAGACCTCCAGCGAGGCTGGTCAGTTCTCCCAGCTGAAGCAGCACCCGCAACCCTCAAAGAAAAAACCCAGAAGTAACAATGGTATATACATTTATTAACATTCCTGCTTCTCTTATCCAGAAATAGAAAAAATAAAGGGGGTGGGGGGAGAGATGGGGACTCTGTGTTTATTCAGGCTGTGGGAAGAGTCGGGCTGTCTCTGTCACCAGGTGAGCTCCGGCGTTTCGCTGCCATTTTGTCATCTCGGCTGAAGAACCCTTCGCTTGCTGCATGGCTTCCACAACTTTCTTCAGCATTTGATTAGTGTGTATTAATTCAGTGCCCAATAAGGATGTGTACATGTAGAGCCTACAACACACAAACACAGTAGCACCTCCTTGAGAAGGTGCTACCCTTCCACCTGCCTCTGCTGCCTTCCTCTCTCCTCCCCGTGTCAGCCGCCAAAGGGCCACCTCCTGAAATAACTTTCACAAGCACAAGGTGTTACAGCCTCTGTCCCCTCCCTGGGCAGCCACAGGGAGATGTTCTGGAAGAGTGACAATATTTTAAATTCTTGTCCCACCTCATTCTTCACTGATGTCCTTACAAGCTGCTCTGCTAAAGGCTTTCATGTCTTTCTTCCCTCCCTGAGGGCAGCTGTTGGCAGCCAGTATAACAGCACATAAAATATCCTAAAATCACTGACTTTGCATTGATCTCCTGTCCCTCAGGTTGTCACTGGGTGAGGGTTTCAGCCAGGGGGAAGGGGAAGAGACCGTAAGAACAGAGGGACACACACTTACTCACGGAAATCCGCAGCGGAGACGTAGCTCTGAGCCGGGCCTGAGGCCCCGCTGGCAGCAGGGGGGTGCTTCTGCTCAGGGTCCCCTTCCTTTGATGGCTCTGGATGGCTCTAGTCAACACCAGAGGGATTAAAAACAAAACCACACAAACCAACAGCAAGATGGCAAAGGGACAGACAGAGATTTGGGGAGAAAAATACTCTCTTCCCCATCAGAAAGTAGATTTTCCTTCTGGCCCTTCCAAAAAGACAGGCCATAGGAATACACGTTTCTTTTCAGAGCTGAGAGATTGCAAGAGTTGTGTGTGATGGTGTTTCCAGCCAGCCCAGGGGCTTCTCCCTCTCCTGTTGTGCAAGTGATTTTTTAAGAATATGTTTAGATGTACTTGCCCTGGGCTACCCCAGATCTGGAACTGCCAAACACTGCGGGGAAACCTTTTTGTAAAGCAAAAGGAAGCTACAGCGGCCCTTCTTCTTGCTGTGGATACAGCCTATGACCCAACAGATCGCTGTCCAACTCGTTTGTTTTCCATACATCTGTTTAATGTTTGGGCAAATGCCCAGCTCACAGCTTCCTGCCATGGCTGAGACACACTGACCTCGCCCTACTGCAGCCTCTGCTCTGGTGGTACATGACCTGGCCCCCGAGCAAGCTTTCCTTGGAAGTTTTGGGCACAATTAGTGATTTTTATTTGATAGGTCTAGCTTTTGCTGTTCCTGTGATGTTAGAAATAGCATCCTGTAGGGAAATGGCTTTTGTAAGGAATGGTGGGGACAACTGTGACTCCTTTTGTATTATTCAACTTGTGAAATATGATCTGGCTTCCTAAGAATATAGGGAAGAATAAAGCCTACCTCTTTGCTAGCTCCAGCTCCATTGGAATGCTTAGAAACGTCCTTTCCTTCACTGGCTGGTAATTCCTTGCTTGTCGAGAAGAGACAGAGTCCTGTGAGAACAGGTCTGGGTGTGGTGCAGGGGGTAACAGCAAAGGCAGAGCTCCTACCTTTGCAAGTTCTCCTCCGAGGAATTTTTAGCCATCTGGGGTTTCTTCAACTTGAGCATGACAAGGGCCTTATTGCAGCTCTGAACACAGACAGGGAGAGTCAGGAGTGTTAATTGGCTCGTGTTTAACCAGAGACACTTCTGCACAAGGACTTGAGCGCAAGGAACAAGCTGTCAGTGTAATGCCATGGCAATTAAAGAGAGATCCCAGCGCGCTATCGCTGTGTTCCCTCTGCCCAGAGAGCTCACCCTGCTCTATCTCAAATTTGTCATGAAATCCCTGAAGGTAACGACCACCCAAATCCAGTAAGAGTGTTCGTTTTCGAGCTTATTCAGTTTAAGCTCGCTGTAGACCAGGGTAAGTGGGGGAATGAGCTTGTGGGGGGTACTCTGAGCTGTGCTGTGAGCAGACCAGCTGTATCCTGGCCAGGAACTCCCCTTCCCCTTTCCTTACTGAAAGCCGGGCTTCACAGAAGCCACATAACTTGTGTCTGCGCCATTTGTCAAATCCTACAGGAATATTTCAGGTAGGTCTGGCTGCCAGCCCTCCCCTACAGAGCACTCGGTGCTGGCCAGCCTGCAGAAACGCTGCCTGAAGGCGTGGGTCTCTCATCCCACCCCTCTCTCAATACTATTGACTTTGCTCCTGATGCTGTATCCCCCAGTTAAAGTTGGGTTTCCAGACAGAGGTACTGCCCTGCCCCAGCAACAGGACTGCAGGCAAGCTCTCACCTTCAGTGTATGCATTTGGCAGGAAAGGAGGTTGTTATTTCAAGTTGAACTGAGGAGTTAAGGAAAGATTTGGTCCCCTTTTCTACTCATTTCTGCCACAGAAAAAAAAAGGTCTAAACTTTGTGGAGTTTTAAAGGTATCTATTTCTGCTTGTCTTTCCAGGCAGAGAAGATCTTTAGTTTCTCAGTCTGGAAGAGCAGCAACAATAAGCTCTGAAAAAAGCTGATGACCAGATCTATCACAAACCAGGCGGGTCCTAAATACTGCTTTTAAAAGGCTGAAGTAAAGGTAAGTTCTTTCCACCCAAATTCATGCTACTGTTACCATCAGGAGCTCCTGTGGGTTTGATGGAAGGATGCCTCTGTGTTTGTCAAATGTTTGTTTCAAGTGAAAAATTAAATCTTAGGTGTTCTTAAATGGCTATGGCCTGTCTAAGACTCTTTGCTAGTGATGTGGATTGGAATTCCTCTTACCTTGAATTAAATGAGGCAGTTACAGAAGTGTGCACTTACCTGTTTGAAGAGGTCTCTGATCTGCAGCTCTTCACTGCTTATCAGCTGAAAGTCTGCCTTGACTTCAGAGTAGGTATCATTTATAATAGCCAAAAACATGTTCTGCACAGGAAGGGATGCAGTTAGAGAATTGTTTCTGGAACTTGCATTTGTATTATGCTGGGGCTGTTGTTCTGGGGGCTGTTCCACGCTTGGGCATGTAACTAAGGGAAGTGAAGAGCTTTGCTGAGTGCATGTATCCTCCTAATGCACTTAAATTAACTGATGGGAATATTTTTGGGAGACAAATCATTTATTTCCCACCTGCAGTATCAGCTAGAAAGCCCAGTTCCTTAGAGGTAACATTTCCTGTTGTATACTTGTAGCTTTTTCAGATGGTGTTTCAATTACTTCAATTAATTGAAGTAATTAATGGAAACATCAATCTGATACTGGAGGTAACATTTCCTGTTGTATACTTATAGCTTTTTCAGATGGTGTTTCAATCTGAAGTAATTAATGGAAACATCAATCTGATAAAGCAAACCTGCACCTACATGGTCCCATCAAAGCCTCTCTTTAACCCTCCCACCTGACAAGGCTGACATTATGCAGTTTTCAAGGGCATCCAATTAAGCTTTCAGAAATTTAAACCTCAAGAAACGAGCGGTGCAGTAGATTGAAAGGTGCAACGTGCTCATTATGTGGTGCAAAAGGATAAGCATTTTTGAGGTGAGACCTACCAGCAACACGAAGAACACAAAGAATACGAATGTGATGAAGTAAATAGGTCCAAGGATTCTGTTTGCATCTTCTATGGCTTGAAAATTAAAATCTCCCAGCACAATACGGAACTGTGTAAAGCTGGAAGTAAAAAATACCAGAATGAGGTTAACTGGCTTCTCCTAAAGAGACATATTGTAAGCATTATTGAAAAGAAAAAAAAGGCAGTAGATACAATTGAGACTGATTCACCGTCACTTTTGTCACTGAAATCAAAAGGCCAGGATAATACTGCAATGGTAAATTGGGCACGTAGCATATATTTGAGAATTTGAAAGTACAAAGGAATTCTTAAATGGCTTGTATGAGCAAATACATTCATTTTGAATAAATCACCTCGTTTTGGCTTTGGGGGTTTCTTTTAAATTATTTCCCTTCTGTTCTAGCCTCGTGGTCCCTTATCTTCTTTAGTACAGAAGGTAACAGTACAGGTCCCTATGACCCCCTCTGGAGGATTTTATTCCTAGCTAAGACAAATATTTCCCTGTATTGCAGCATCTTAGGACTATCTCACGTCTAAGAAGATCCAAAATGAGCTGTTTTTCTAGTTTAGAAGTGCCTTAATTTTACATTAAAAGCTACTTTCAAACAATCTGGCACAGTACAGCTCTCTTTAAGCTGTAAGAAACGTAGCTGTGGGCTAAACCATAGGGCACGCTGCTGGGGACAGGTCAGGGTTGCTACAAGGTACAAAGACCATCAAAACCAGTTCCAGCTGACACCTGGAATTGATCTGATGTTGCTTCAGTGAGTGGCTGAACAAAATTGTGGGGAAGACAGTAAGAGAGCCAGCAGATGGGATGTGGGGACTCTTGGCTATGCAGCTGGATGTTTTCATTCCTGTTTGCAAAGGTGGTTACACATGACAAAGTTGTGTTGAGAATTGTTGGGACTAGCAGCTCCATTGGGTGAGGCTTCCCTGAACTGTTTAATGTACACATGGTCTCTTTTTAACTTTTTTTTTAAGGTTCTGGGAAACAGATTGTATAGACAACAACATTGGGTTTGCTCTATGAAATAAGCTTAATGTTGGAGACCTGTGCTCTTAAGTTCTGCCCAGCAGAAACCGGTTTGTGCCTGCACCAACTGGGGCCTTTGTATCAAAAAGTTTAGAAAGTAACATACATGCAGTTTTGGAAACTGGAAAACTCTTCAACTTGCAAGCCGAAGACCAGATAGCCTAACTGGGCATAGGCAAAGAAAATGATGAAGAACATGATGGCAAATCCAAGGATGTCTTTGGCACAGCGAGATAAAGTGGAGGACAGCTGCGTCATGGTTTTGTTAAAGCTTATGTATTTAAATATCTGCAAGAGAACAGAACGTATTGTTATTGAGGGATTGAAATATATTGCAACTTCTGGAATGTTATCTGTAATCGTAATTTACAGGTTAAGTCTTACCAAGAAGTATGTTGTGTGGTGGGTACCTGTAAGGAGAACTAGGACTGGCTGTATTTCTGGAGAAGATGAATACTCTGCAGGGCAAATATGGGTTAAAGCATGGTTTGGCCCCAGAGCACCTGGTTAGGAACAAAAGTAGCCCCTAATCTTAGAGAAGTTTGCTACTCTGGCCAGAGATCAGCAAATCTATTTCCAACTAAGAATGAAATTAAAGGCGTCCTGGCACAAAGCCACTTCTGAAGCAAGTTCAGACACATTTTGCCTTCCTTTGCAGTTAAAAACTAGCTATTGTCTTCATTGCTTTTGGCCACCAAAGCTATGATATAGCTTCACCTATTACAGCCATGCCATCTGTGTAGGTCAGGCTGTGACCTGGATAATATTTGGTCAAGGCAAAGACTGAGTCTGAGGAGGCTGTTTGTCCATGGTCATTTCCCAGCTGCTCCAATACAGACAGCTGCCCACGTGCAAATTTTTTTTTTAGATGGGCTTGGAATTTGTGTGACCCATGCTTACGAGAAGGAGGTAATTATAAACTCTTCTGGAATCTTATAAACAAAATTCTCCTTTTTAGCCCCACCTTTGCAATTTAGCCATGAAAAAGTAAAAGTCAACATTTATGCCATGCTTGGAAAAACTGTGATTCTTGAGTACAAAAAAAAAAAAAGGGAGAAAGAACCAATACCTTAATCCAAGCAAAGAAGACGTTGACAGCAATCACGTTGTTGTAAAGGACTTGCCAGAATGCAAGGAAATAGAAGTCTGGATAATCACTGGGCTCATACAGCAGCTCTTCCATTAGCAGGGACACTTCCACAGTGCGGTAGATGTTGAAGATAATGGCAAGGATGGATACCTGAAGGAAAGCAGGAGCAAGTGAAACTGAAGTCCAGCTACACCCCCTCTCTTCAGACTTGTTACTTGCACAGGAAGGACTGTACTGATTTCACAAGGTCCTTGGTTAGATCTGAAGAACCCGAGCTTTTTAGATGCTTTGGCATAAATTGTATATATGAGACTTTATTGGCCAAATAATTTGTAATTGTACTGTGATAATTCTGGGCTTGTGCTACGTAACACGTTGCACACATTCTAATTTTACTGTGCTAGCTCTGTTAGGCACTAGTGCTTCCCAGCTCTGCAAATATTAAGGCTAAACCAAGCAGGGGGGATAATGAGTAGAATGGACACGGAGCCACAGCAAGGCTAGAAAAGAGCTCAAGTGTGCTGAACCATGGTGGGCCCTGTGGCCTCTTCAGGTGGCCTCTTCCCTGCAGACACAGATTTGGGCTGCTCGGGCTCGTTGGCCATCCATCCAGCGCTAGCCTTGGCTGGCGAGCACAGAAAGTGAAAGATGAGGAGCAGCTCACCACCAGCAGCAGCACATCCAGACAGTTCCAGGCACTTCTGAAATACTTCAGCTTCAGTTCTACTAGTTTTTTAGCTTCCTGGATTATGAATGTAATGATGAAAAGGCAAAAGGTGACTTCACAAAAAGCCAGGAAGTAATCGTAGTACGTGATGTATCCGAGGAGCTTCACAGAGTAGGTGTGTGAGGAGGTGAGCGCACCCCCCGTGGCAGGGAACTCTACCACCAACCTGGAAAAAATCAGGGACTGGCGTTAGTTACCATCCTTTTGAATCAACTCAGCCCTTAATTTTCTAATATTAATTACTACTACATTAATAATACCTTACTGGAACTCCTATACCTGCAAGATCTTCCTGTGAGGGTTACACTAAGTCCCCCATTAAAAGAATATGACATGGTAGTGAAGGTTGAGGGGGAAAATAAGAAGCTCGTGGGATACCCAAACTACAGAGTTTGGTTAAATCTTTAAAGAAACTGTGTCTCAGAAGACCTCACGTTCACCCTACCCTGAGTTTTTTCCCTCCACTAGCTGACAACCAGACTAATAATCTAGTCCTTGCAAAAGGCTATGAAATCTATTCCAACTGACAGCAGCAACCAGATGTACACACCAGACACCAAATATTACAAAAAAATGGAAAGGATCTGGGTCTGCTCCTTCCACTAACTGAATTTCTGTATTTTTAGTGAATTACTGTCTTTCCAACTGCGACCCGAGAAATGTGGCTGCATACACCTGAGGTGACCAGCCCTTCCTTGCATCCTTATGGAAGCATTATGCCTCAGTAAATTGGAATTTCATATGGAGTAAAGGTAAGAACTCACCTGACTATACAGAAGAGGTTTATGTTAGCATTATATGTTGAGAAATCAATAAATACGATTCTGGTTCCTCTAGTGAGCCAGTTGTTCTGCCTGAGAAACACCAACTTCTCCAGGCTCTTCTCCTTCGATTGAGGTAATTTGAATTTATATCCTCCGCTGCTGTACAAGCCCATAGATCCCCAGTACCACAGGGAGAACGAGGAGGCTGAGGTGTATTTCCATCTATCAGAAAAAGGGAAAACAAAGCAGTTCAGCTTACGGAACTGCTTTTATTTTTATTTCATACAATCCTTGTAAGTTACAACTGACCAGTTAAGCCAGACCTTTAAATGACACCTTCGTTACATGAAGTATGCATGAGACATACAGCCTTAAGATATTCCCATTTCTTTTATTTGGCTACTCAGTACATTCACAAAACAGCAATTGCTTATGAATCTGGATTTTGCCCAACATGGGCCAGCCAGTTTATTACCTTAAAACCTTCATAAATGGAATATCTCTGGTTTACGTAGTTCATTGTTACTATGGCATGTTCACGTGTTCTTTCATTGCGTTAAATCGATGCTAAACGAAGTGTGTGAAGCAGGCCTTTTGGCTTTGTTTCCACAGCATTTTAGCATGATTCCAATTTATAAACATGTGATTTAAATTCAGGCTTCATATAATTGAGCATTTCTCCAGAGATGTTAGTGGAGATAGGCCCATTAACATGTACTTTTGCTGAACTGGGCTTGTTGTTTCCAGTTCTTCCTGTCTCTCCGCTATAAATTTCTCATGCCGAATTCCTGTCTATAATGTTGGCACAAAAACAAATCCATGGTTTATCTCAATGTAAACAAGAGAAAAAACTCAGCTAATTGCATGTACTAACTGAAGAATACTGGCATTAAGGATATGGCTATGTTTTCAAAAACATTTCTGGGCTGAAGTTGAATGACTTACTCGGAGTCGTTCTTTAGACCGAAGTCAGACCTGTCTTCAGCTTGATAACGATATTCACTGTAACAGTCCTTAAAAAAGCTATGGAAATAGGGGTAGATGGAGCAAGTGTTGTTGTGAACTTTCAGCTGGCGGATCTGGGCTACTCCTAACAGCAAATTCTCATAGTAAATACGGTTGTTGTTGTCCTGAATGGCTAACATCCTGGTGTTATTCCCTTTGTCCCAGTAGAGTCCATCCAACAGGGGTCCTTCTGCAAACTATATATGCAAGTGAGGTTAAAGTTTCAAAAGGAGATTGAAATACTACTATTACCCCACTTTTTAGCAGACAAACCTGTACAGGGTTCTCAGATTACTTACAGAGACTAAGCTAGAATACAAACAACTCCCACTTACGTACTGTCTTATGATATTTACTACATCTTTTTGCTATGAGTCAATTTCATTCCCTATGCAATTCTATCAGAGATAGGTAATGGAATTATTCAGGGTAAGATGACAACATATGTCTGTTTGGGGTTTCACTGAAAAATTCTGCTGAATTCTAAACAAATATGTTTAAACACAAACATTATATGTTAACAAAATCTGTTGATTATCTTAACCTCTGAAGATCTGTTCTGGAATATATTTTTGACTAGGTTTTAGTCATCTGAATCTATATGAAGTAGTACTTATTTTGAAGGTGGCAAAATATTCCCTCTTTTTCCGGATGTTTCTTTGATGCAGATGAAGGTTGGGGAGAACATTATTCTGAGTACAAAATATGCCCTCGTGGTTTGGCACCATGTGAGCATGTACGACAACCATTTCTAGTACATCAGCACACTACAGACTAGCAGTAACAGACAGCATGGTAAGAGGGCGTATGGTTCTTCCAAATGAACTGTTATAACCAGGCATTTCCATTTTTAAGGAGGAGTAGGATGAGAAACTTTGCCTTCTGCTATCAGCTGGGGAATGCTGGTAATTTGGGGAAGCTGTCCACCTAGTAGTGAAAAGAGAGAGAAGCGTTTTGCAGCTGTCACTGAAGTATGAGGTAAAACCAGGTGAACCAAGATGGTATGTTTTCCTGGCTGCCCCAGTGGAAATCATAAATTTTAATCTTTTTTTTAACACCTGAAAGTCAAAAGAACCGTAAACCCCAAATCGTTCTGTTTTTATTGAAACTCTTTTCAGACCAAGATATTGAGAACATGATGCAGCAATTAACTGGCCTATTGTTTTCCTCGACTGATTATTCAGAAGTATCAGTATTACTGTTTGTACCCAGCATTTCTCCAAATGCATTTTAAGAAGTTTTTTTTGCCTTTCTTCAGCCGGGAGCACATCTAGCACATGGGTTTTAGAAAAACTGTGAGACTGTATTGCTTCGGATTAACGCTTGGGAGCTTCTTCACTTGTTCACTCCTCAAGGAAGCATCTTTGCAATGAAAACCCTTACCCTCCAGAAATCAGCCCTGCTCTCGATTTTCCCGAAACCGCTGTGGCTGTCCTCAGAGGAGGGTGGCTCCAGGAAGAGCTGGGACATGACTTTGTTGAGGTAGTACATCTCCGTGCTCACCATGCTGAACGTCACTGGAAAGAAGGGGAAAAGAGAGGGGATGCTCGCAGGCTGGAGTTAGAGCCTTCTAGAGGCTTAGGAGGATGCCTAAGGATCATTAGAGGACGACAACAGCTTCTAACCCTGCTTCTCCACTTCTGTTGTCATTAGCTCTAAAAAAAGGCCGTCAGAGCAACTCCAACCGAAGGGGCACTTTTGGGTGGAAGACAGGTGGAGTAAGGAGAAATACTGGAGGAGGTACAGCTTGCACATTTAATTATTTGTAGATGGTCACCTCAGTCATTTGATGACTTACGTATACAGAGGTCGATCAGGAAAAAGATGTAGATGACCAGCTCCCGCAGGGTGGTTTTCAGCTCCAGTTCTCTGCTGACACTGATTCGGGGTTTCGCAGCACCTGGTGGGGGAAATGGCGGTGGGGGCAGAGGGGTGTCAGAGGAGGGACCCCTCAGGGGAAAAGAGAGGGGATGCTCGCAGGCTGGAGTTAGAGCCTTCTAGAGGCTTAGGAGGATGCCTAAGGATCATTAGAGGACGACAACAGCTTCTAACCCTGCTTCTCCACTTCTGTTGTCATTAGCTCTAGAAAAAGGCCGTCAGAGCAACTCCAACCGAAGGGGCACTTTTGGGTGGAAGACAGGTGGAGTAAGGAGAAATACTGGAGGAGGTACAGCTTGCACATTTAATTATTTGTAGACGGTCACCTCCGTCATTTGATGACTTACGTATACAGAGGTCGATCAGGAAAAAGACGTAGATGACCAGCTCCCGCAGGGTGGTTTTCAGCTCCAGTTCTCTGCTGACACTGATTCGGGGTTTCGCAGCACCTGGTGGGGGAAATGGCGGTGGGGGCAGAGGGGTGTCAGAGGAGGGACCCCTCAGTCCCCGCCGAGCCCCGCACCTCTCTATCCTTCCGCGGGGGCGGCCGGCCGAGGCTCGGCTGTGCCGTGGGGCTCGGCGGGGACCCGGGGCGGCTGAGGGGGGCCCGGGCGGCGCCCGGCCCTAAGGGGAGAGGGGCCCGCCATGAGGGGAGCGGCGCCCGGCCCTGAGGGGAGCCGGGCCGCCTCACGCACCGTTGCCGCTCAGCCTCTGCTCCACGGCGGGCCGCTGCCGCGCTGCCGACGGCTCCATGGGTGGCCGGGCCGGGGCGGCTGCCGGCGATCTCCCGTTTGAATCCCAACGATTCCCCCGCCTCGGGCCGGTTCCCCTCACCGCCTGCGGGAGGGCTCGGGCCGGGTAGCGGGACCGCAGCGGGGGTGCCCGCGGCCTGTCCGTGGCTACCGGCGGGGGGCTGCCCCTCACGCCCTCGGAGCTTTTATTATTATTATCATTATTTTTATTGCTGTTAGTGGCGTTGAGCGGGTCTGTCCCGCCCTGGCCCCTGCCGAGCCCCCCCCCAGCGGTGGGGCCTGGGAGAGCCCGGGCTTCCCGCTCCCCCTTGGCGGCCGTTCCTTCGGGGGACGGGAAATTAAATCATAAATCGCGGCGTCTGGGTGCTAACAGGCTCAGTTCGGGCAATTAGGAAATTCCCTTCCCGCTGTGAGGAGCGGCAGGGAAAGCAGGATGTGTTCATTTAAATGTATATTAATGCAAACACCCTGCGTTCAGGTGCTGCTGGGTCAGAGCTGCCAGCACCGGGCCCGCACCCCTGCCCGGGCATCGCACCGGCTTTATGTTCCAAAAAAGCCTATGGACAAACTGGGTGTCAGGCTGCATTTATCAGCCCAAACCCAAAAAGAGCATGATGTGTGTGTGTTGTAAACATTTAAGTAAATTTCACTACTGAGGCAGCCCAGGGAAGTGTGCTGGTAGACCTGCTGGATTTCATTGGCAGTTTAATAGTCAGCGTTGTGCAGCTCAGATTTGGGGTTTTATTTAATGTACAGCAGCATGGGGTGAAACTGAGGCCTTTTCATATTTTTTTTTTCTCTTCTGGAAGATGCTCCTGTGGTTTGCTGACCCACAGCATCGTGACCGTGTGCCCCCCGGGAGGAGTTCAGGTCAGTTTCACCCTCACAAATTTTCCTGTAGCAAGTACAGTTGAAAGAATCTTCAGAGAGAAGGTTTGTTGGAGCTTGGCAAAATCTGGTTTCACGGTGTTCATTATTATTTTGAGCAAGGTGGCTGTGAGTAGCTGCACACAAACCCTTTGGATGCTTCAAATCAACAGGTTGTTGAGAGCCAGCAGACAGATAAGCCCCAGCCACTCCTTGGTTAAAGGAGCCAGGAAGGAAACCATGGCAGACTTAACACTTCATATTATACAGGGCAGCTTTTGAGTCACAGTGGGCAAGGAGAAAACAATATTGATGTTGCCTCACGGACCTGTTTTAGTGTTAAGCATTTGGTTTATGCTAAATAGTTTATAGCTATTGGGGAGCAGACAGGGGAGGGCACCAGTGTCAGACTTAGTAGGGCAAGAATCCATCTTTGCCGGTCTGCAGCTGATGCCAGACATCCATAAGCAGGTATTAACAGATGAAGGAAGAGTCACAGCTGATGGTGGTTATTTAAAATTTTATTTGCCTAATTTATTCTCATAAAAACACTCTAGTCTATTTGGTTTTAGTATTCAGACAGTACAGACTTCCGATATTATCAAGAGTGATATTAGAGAAGCAGTACAAGCCAATCTACTTTAGCATGTAACCAAGCACAGGTGGAACTAAAACCACCCACACTTGTAAAAACTAATTAGCCTGCTTTCTTAGGCTTTATAGTTAAAATACAATACTCAGTAAATGGTTATAATCACCAAACCATATAAATAAAATCTAACGGGGTAAAATAGGAGCAGCTGAATGTGCAAGAGTCAAAGTAAAAATATGTAGATAGGTATTTTGCTAATTAGAGCAATCACCAGTTAACTGCATCTATGTTGTAAGTGTCTCTTATGGGTCTGAGTTTTCCTCTTCGTTTCCAGTTAAAGTTCATCACTTTCATACAGTCCAGACTGCTCAGCCAAACGCTGAAACTCTCCTTCTGGTGAGAAAGCTTGTTTCACATCCAGTCCTCTGCCATTAAGTGCCAAATACTTGCTAAAAGTTGGTCGAACCCGTAACTGCTTTGGGGCTGGAACTGGCTTGTTTGCATGTGCTGGAAGAGAGAAAAAAGTTTCTGTCAGTCTTTTCCCAGGCTGTGGAAAGACCCATAGTAGAGCAACCTAATTGCTGTTCATCTGCAACATAAATCAGGAAACGCTTAGGAATAATTTGTCAGTCAAACCTATCTCTCAGACACCAGAGATTTATATTCACCCTCCTTATTGGTATCAAATTGTAGTACTTTAAAAGTGCAGAAAGCAGATGTAGACAATGTGCAAAGGACACATCACAGTGTCTTGGTACTAAACAATAAAAGTTTTTCGCAGGATAGTTACTTTTTGAATAGTTCAGTATCTTTGGAAGGAAATCCTCCCAGCAGTCCCAGCTTCCTTAGGTTAATCTTGAGGTTCTGCTCTGAATACAAGTGCCAGTGGCAGTTTTGGTTGTGGCCCTGTGATGTGGTACTTACTTGCAACCTCCAGCCTGGCGTGGCATGTGGCCACTCCTGCTCCGTTGACAGCAGATACGGTGTACCAGCCGGCATCTTTCTTGTTTGCATTATGAATCAGGAGGCAAATCCTTCCAGTATTGTCATGTAACAAGCTGAAAAAAATGAAGGTGTTTGTGTATAAGTGCGTGGAGGGAGAGAAGACATTGAAATCAGAGGGTCAGTCTACATGCTGAGGAGCTGAGAAAGCCCTAGAACAATTCTTGCAGGGCACTGCAAACTATTTAGACATAAAAAACTACATTTGTGTTACGAGACAGCAGTGGTTCACATCAGGTGGCATCAAAGCCCTCCTGGAGCTCTATAGCTTCAGAGCACAAGGAACACATCGCGTGTTTCTGTCCTAAAGCCATGCTTCTCCTTGGGCCTTGCAACTGCTGCTAGAGTTCAGAGCAGCATCTGGTCACAGTTTTTCTCTGTGCCCTCAAAACAAGACTCTGAGCCTCATGGACCTGTTCAAGTTTCATAAACGAGGGATGGATCTAGCTTTCCAGCTTGCTGCTTTTAGAAACCAGCCAATTGAAATTTGACTTAACAAATACCAGTTATTGTTTTCTAACACACCAATGGCCAACTCATTAGTAGGATACCTTATTCGGTCTGTATTATATTGTACCATTTCGTTGTTTCTTTTCCAGTAAATCCGGGGTGTTGGGATAGCAGAGATCTGGCATTCGAGTCTGGCTGTATCTCCTTCAAAAACCTTTTTGCTTTGTGGCTTGAAGACGAAAGTTGGAGGCGTGTGATGTTCTTTTGCTAAATTAAAGAGGAAAGATAAGGAGGAGTTACTGTAAGTATTGAACACTAATATCAGGCCTGCTTTTTACAATTTCAGAATGCTAATTTCAGGAGGGCACGTGTTCCTTACTGCAACTCCTGAGCCTACAGGCAATTCCCATGAGTGTAAGGGTGTAGAAGACTCCAATCCAGGAGAGTCAATAAACATATATTGACAATTTGGGGAGATTAATAACTCCTAAACGCTGGACATCCCCCTGCATCTAAATATCTGACTAGAAGTGCTTTTTGGGGAGATTAATAACTCCTAAATGCTGGACATCCCACTGCATCTAAATATCTGACTAGAAGTGCTTTGAAGAAATATGGTATCCCGAATGTCTGTATTATAATAGTCTTGGAAAAGGTAAGATGTTTGTTATCATTTGAGCCTCAATATCTGGAGATTTGCCTCTGCTTCTTAATTAAGTCCCAAGCACAGGGAGAAGGCATTAGATTACTGAGGTTTTCCATGTGTGCCAGGTACTTATCAGTGCTCTCAGTCTTACCAATTACTTCCACTTTTACTGTGAAAGATGCTTCTCCTGCACGGTTGACAGCCACACATTCGTATGTCCCTGCGTCAGAGGATTTGACTGCTTCGAAAATAAAGGAATGGAATCCCTTTTCTGACACTATCATTTTATGGAACTGATCTTGATGAACCATCCTTCCATTCTGATACCACATCACGTCTGGAGTCGGCAGCCCACTAACCTGTGAAGGAGAGAAAAGCAGTGACGAATTAAACAGCTTTAAGATAATAAAAGCCCTTCAATGCTATAGGGAGTTTGATGTCAATAGATGATCAAATCATGATCCTACTGCAAAATTTTACTGTCTTGCCTAGTTTTGAATATTAATGTGGTGCTGCACAGAGAGGATGGTTTGTGAAGTGCCATGGAAAGATGAGCTTTAGTTACAAGGCAGTAGATGCTGTTCTGCTCCCCCTTGTTGTTCCCATCTCGTAAGGTAGTTTTAATTAGGCCAAAGATACTTGTTTTGGGTTCATAGAGTGGGGGGAAACTCACGCTTTTAATCTCACAGCACCATCAGCAGTGCTGACATCCGTAGTGATAATGTATGTAAATAAACTGTCCTGCAGACATGCTCCAGGCTGTCTATGGCATTCAGGAGTTAAACAATTTGCAGCAAAATGGCTAAACGTTGTGCCTAAATCTGGCAAGAGTTTACTTAAGGGAAGAGATGGGAAGTGATTAGGAAAAACCAAGGCAAACCACAATCAGCAAACACCCTTTGCAGTGAAGTTGCCTGTGCGGAAGACTGAGGTTCTTTCTTACCCTAGGGTTGGTACCATTGCCATGCAGTTTCAGGCCATTCTGGCATTTTCTTTGTTTATAATTAAGGTATTTGCTTGCCAGATTGTCTGCTCCAGCAAAGGCACAGTTACTCAGAGAATACTCATTAAAGACAAGCCAGTCCTATACAGGCTTTGCTGGACGTATGTCCATTGAAGTCAGTGAAGTCCCAAGAGCAAATCACAACATTCCTTTCCAAAATGCCTTCTTTCAATGAGGCCTTAATATTCGTTCTTCCCAGGTACTCTGTGGTGGTCCATATTTACCACTATTTAGCTTTAACCATATTCTAATGCAGCTAATTCCATTTACATTTTCCAAGGGAAAATGCTGAAATATTTAGCCGCCTCCTGTTTCTTGGTTTCCGTTGCCTGGAGAGACCCTGCAGCATCTGCCATTAGTGCTCTGGCTTATTAAAGCTCAAAGGCCCTGCTGCTCAGAGACTTCTCCTCATGCCACACACCCCGCAGAGCAGAGCTAATGGAACTGAAAGTGAAAGGCTGGTATTACTTTAAAGTCGAGTCTGAAGAATCGCCCCTCCTCAATAATTATGTCTTCGGGCACTTGTGTAAAACGTGGCTGAAAAAACTTCTCCTGGATTGAGTCATGTCCACGATCATCTCCTCTTGAGGATGGTCTGCTCCTAAAAAGTGGACAGAAACACTTAATTGTGTAAAAGTCATCATTCCTGGATCGAGTCATGTCCACGATCATCTCCTCTCGAGGATGGTCTGCTCCTAAGAAATGGACAGAAACAGTTAATTGTGTAAAAGTCATCATAGCACCAGGTACATTGAAGCACTGATTGCAGCTAGAGCTCAGCACCTTTAGGAGCCCAACACTACAGTTCTGGGCAGCTTTTCAGCTCTATGGCATGGATTTTGATCAACCACTTATCTTGCTCAAGTTGTTCAATTCAACACAGAAGCATAACATAGGAAACCTTCATCTTTGGCCTAACAACCAAAAGAATTTACAAGAGCAATGTAAGCAGTGTTTCATCATGCTACAT